TAGTAATAAAAACAGCATGGTATTGGCACAAAAATAGATAAATGGATCAATGGATCAGAATAGAGAAATAAACACGCACACCTACAGTCAATTAGCCTTCGACAAAGGAGGCAAGAATATCCAACGGAGAAAAGACAGTCTCTTCAGCAAGTGGTGTTGGGAAATCTGGACAGCCACATGTAAACCAATGAAGTTAGAACATACCCTCACTCCATACACAAAAATAAACTCAAGGGCTTCCCTGGTGGGGCAGTGGTTAAGAATCCGCCTGCCAATGCAGGGAACACGGGTTTGAGCCCTGGTCCGGGAAGATCCCACATGCTGCGGAGCAACTGAGCCCGTGCACCACAACTACTGAGCCTGTGCTCTAGAGCCCACGAGCCACAACTACTGAAGCCCACATGCCTAGAGCCTGTGCTGTGCAACAAGAGAAGCCACCGCAATGAGAAGCCTGTGCACCTCAACAAAGAGTAGCCCCTGCTCGCTGCAACTAGGGAAAGCCTGTGCGAAGCAACAAAGACCCAACACAGCCAAAAATAAATAAACTAAATAAATAAATTTAAAAAATAATTCAGCCCCCCAAAATAAATAAATAAACTCAAAATGGCTTAAAGACTTAAATGTAGGACATGACACCATAAAACTCCTAAAAGAGAACATAGGCAAAACATTCTCTGACATAAATTGTACCAAAGTTTTCTTACGTCAGTCTCCCAAGGCAATAGAAATAAAAGCAAAAATAAACAAATGGGACCTAATCAAACTTATAAGCTTTTGGCATTTTCTCACCTCCTCAGATGGCCCACACTCTGTCTGTGGAGTGTGTTTCTCTCTAAATAAATCCACTTCTTACCTAGAAACAAACAAACAAACAAAAAACCAACTTATAGGCTTTTGCACAGCAAAGGAAACCATAAACAAAATGAAAAGACAACCTACGGACTGGGAGAAAATATTTGCAAATGCTGCGATTGACAAGCGCTTAATTTCCAAAATATACAAACAGCTCATACAACTCAATAACAAAAAACCAAACAACCCAATCAAAACATGGGCAGAAGTCCTAAATAGCCATTTCTCCAAAGAAGACATAGAGATGGCCAATAGGCATATGAAAAGATGCTCAACATCACTAATTATTACAGAAATGTAAAACAAAACTAAAATGAGGTACTACCTCACACTGGTCAGAACGGCCATCATTAAAAAGTCTACAAATAACAAATGCTGAAGAGAGTGTGGAGAAAAGAGAACCCTCCTACACTGTTGGTGAGAATGTAAATTGGTGTAGCCATTATGGAAAACAGTATGGAGGTTCCTCAATAAACTAAAAATAGAGTTGCCATATGACCCAGCAATCCCACTTCTGGGCATATATCCAGACAAAACTATAATTCAAAAATATACATGGGCCCCTATGTTCATAGCAGCACTATTTACAATAGCCAAGACATAACCTAAATGTCCATTGACAGATGAATGAATAAAGACGATGTTGTACATATACACAATGGAATACTACTCAGCCATTAAAAAAGAATGAAATAATGCCATTTGCAGCAACATGGATGGACCTAGAGATTATCATACTAAGTGAATAAGTCAGAAAGAGAAAGACAAATACCATATGATATCACTTACATGTGGAATCCAAAAAAATGATACAAATGAACTTATTTACAAAACAGAAACAGACTCACAGACATAGAAAACAGACTTGTGGTTGCCAAGGGGGAGGGTGGGTAGAGGAGGGATAGATTGGGAGTCTGGGATTAGCAGACTCAAACTATTGTATATAGAAAGGATAAACAACATGGTCCTACTGTATAGCACAGGAAACTATATATTCAATATCTTGTAATAAACCGTAATGGAAAACAACATGAAAAAGAACATACATATATAACTGAATCACTTTGCTGTACGCCAGAAACGAATACAACATTGTAAATCAACTATGCTTCAATAAATAAATACATAAATCATTTAATTAATTAGTTAATTAATTAAATACAAAAATCCCCTATCTGCTTCTCCATCCAAAACCAATGCCTCCCGATGGCCAGTGGTTCGGGGTCACTGGCCTGAGGCCCTTCATCCAGTGGCCCAGGGAGCCTGGTGCGACTTCTCCACTATTTGCATTAGAACTGGGGCTGACACCAGGCAGTGTTTGTGAAGGCAAATCCTCCCAGCTCCTCTGCAGCTCCTGTTCCCTCCTCACTACGCTAATACATACTGTTCAACTACAACTTGGGATAAATATTACTTTTCCTCCATTTACATTCAGTCAACTTCCCAAAGTTTGTGAGTTTTTGACTATCCTTTAGAACACTCAGCCTCTCTTGACACAGAGAAAATGGTCCTGTGCAGCTGTGATATAAAGACGGTGAAAGGAACCTAAGTAATTTGAGTATTTTGGTAATTTATCCTGAAGTGTTGTTGTCAGAGTATATCCCACAAAATGTTCTCTGATATAGCTGTAATTTTCTTTTATTTATTTTATTTTTGACTGTGTTGGGTCTTCGTTGCTGCGCACAGGCTTTTCTCTGGTTCCGGCGAGCGGGGGCTACTCTTCGTTGTGGTGCGCGGGCTTTTCATTGCGGTGGCTTCTCTTGTTGTGGAGCACGGGCTCCAGGCATGAGGGCTTCAGAAGTTAATGCACACGGGCTCAGTAGTTATGGCTCGCGGGCTCTAGAGTGCAGGCTCAGTAGTTGTAGCGCATGGGCTTAGTTGTTCCGTGGCATGTGGGATCTTCCCAGACCAGGGCTCGAACCTGTGTCCCCGGCATTGGCAGGCGGATTCTTAACCACTTTGCCACCAGGGAAGCCCTGTAATTTTTCTTTTGTAGTGTAAGAGAATTTCCAGTAATCGGTACCTTTACTCAAATTTCAGACTGTCACTCTTGAAAATTTTCCAGTCTGGTAAGTTTGAGGTCGTAACTTACTGCTTCAGTTTGCAAAAGTTTGATTCTAAGTAAGGTTGAGAATGTATTCACATGTTTAGTGAGAATTCATGTTACCTAGAATTACCTAGATTAAGTACTGCCATTTTTACTGGGTCATCTTTTCCTTATTAAGTAATAAGAATTATGTATTCATTTTCGATACTAACTCTAATAGACAAGGCCAGCTATGCTACAGAGAATAAAACAAACCCTAAAATCCCAGTGGTTTAACTCTAAAACATTCTATTCCCCATGACCATGAAGTCCAGTGTGGCATGAACAGCTTCTTTCTGTGGTTGTCCACCAAATTAGGATCCAGGGAGCCAGGCTGCTTCTACAGTTTAATTAGCCAGACAATAAAGGGTACCTTCCAAGTTCCTCCAAGCATGGCAAAAGAGAGTTGAGGCGTGCCCATGCAGAAAGAAGCTAATTCAGCAGGTCTGAAACTGCTGTGTCTAGAAAGCCTGCTTGCAAGTCTGGCCTTCGGCTGGCATCTGGGAACTTGGCTGGTGAACAGCTATCTATATTGATAGAAAGTTTTTTTGAGAAGAGTGTCTCACCGTGCCTGGACCATTGGTGTGAACAACATAGTTTATGCCGAACACTGGATTTCCTTCTGGGAGACTAGATCTTCCATTCGTGGTAGGCAGTGGGTGCCTATGGGATCAGCTCCCAGTAAAACCTTGGGCACTGAGTACTCAGTGGGCTCCCTTGGCAGAAATATCATACCCATGATGCTGCGTTTTTCTCGCTGGGGGAAGTGTGAGCTCTGTGTGAGCCCTCCCAGGAGGAAGAGAGCATAACGAAGCCTGTGTATGGATGGATTCTTCTAGACTCCATGTCTTTTTCCCTTATGATCTGCCACTGAATATCTCCTTGGTCACTAATATATCTTAGCCATGGCTACAACTCTATGCCGTATCCCGTGAGTCTCTTAGCAAATCTCAAGTGGGAGGACACCTGGAGGCCTCATCACAGTGCCACGGAATGTTATAAAGGACACGGCTTGAAACTGGCTTGCGTAATTTTCACGCACATCCCATTGTTCAGAACCTAGTCTTAGCTTCCCAACCCTCCAACTACAGTGATGTTGGAATCACATCGGAGCCACAGGAATTTCGTCTCTGTCACACTGATTCTTTATCATCTGTCTGCAAGTCTTCCTGTCTTTTCTCAGTCTGTGGCTTACCTTTTCATTTTTTACAGTGTGTTCTGACGTACAAGAGTTTAATTGAATGCAACTCACATTATGAATATTTTCTTTGCAGTTTGTGTTCTTTTGTGTCTCCATTAAAAAAAAAAACAGGGCTTCCCTGGTGGCACAGTGGTTGAGAGTCCGCCTGCCGATGCAGGGGACACGGGTTCGTGCCCCGGTCCGGGAAGATCCCACATGCCGCGGAGCGGCTGGGCCCGTGAACCATGGCCGCTCAGCCTGTGCGTCCGGAGCCTGTGCTCCACAATGGGAGAGGCCAAAACAGTGAGAGGCCCGCATACCGCAAAAAAAACAAAAAACAAAAAAACAAAAAAAAAACCACAACAAACCCTTCCTCAGATGAATGCCCCAGAATATTTTTTCTTAATTTCTCCTAGTAAAATTTAATTTTACTCTTCACAATTAAGATTAAGTATACCTGAAATAGATTTTCATGTAAAGAATGAAGTAGAGAGTTAGAAAGAAGAGGGAGGGATATATGTTTAGTGCGAGAGAAACAGCCTACAGAAAAGATCTTAGGGTGGCAAAGCACATGGCACAGAAGAGGAAAAAACTAAATGTGGATGCATGTGGCTGGAACAGGGAAAGTCAGGGGAAACTTGTGCAAGACGATGGTGAGGGACAGACAGAAGCAAACGTTATAGGACCTTGTAGGCCTATTGCCCAGTAGAAGAAAGGTAGCCAGGAGCAGAGACCGTGTGAGTGAACATTTCTTTTTTTCTTTAATATTTATTTATTTATTTCTGGCTGCGTCGTATCTTGGTTACGGCATATGGGATCTTTCGTTGCGGCGCATGGGCTCTCTAGCTGTGGCGCCCAGGCTTAGCTGCTCTGCGGCATGTGGGATCTTAGTTCCCCGACCAGAGATTGAACCCATGTCCCTTGCATTAGAAGGCAGATTCTTAACCTCTGGGCCACCAGGGAAGTCCCCGTGAGTGAAGGTTTCTGACTTGTAAGGTGAAGGATAGTAGAGGGTGGGGTAGGCAGTAGATGAAGACGTCACAAAGCTCACAGGGGAGAGAAGGATGTGGGCCTTTGAGATTATCAAGGGGATCTTCATGTATCTCAAGTAAAGATGCACTTTCCTTTCTGCAAGCAGAGGGGACCTCAGAAGAGAGAACCAGCTAGCTGTAGTGTTGAGCTGACCCGTAGTCAGGCTAAGACGGGCATGGGGCAGACTTCAGCACTGAGAGTCACACTGCCCTCTGCTGTCCAGCCCCCATGCTGGCAAGAACTCTGTGCCTTTGATGGAGACAGGGGCTTCTGAGGGTTGGGGCCAGACCTCACGTGTGCAGGCAACCCTCAGTCTTTCTAACCACGCTTTATGTGCAGAGAAGAAGCAGATGTGCAGTACTGTGGAGTCACTGCTGGCACAGAAGTACACAGATGTCCGGGAGGGGATAACAGACTCCAGGGTCAGGGGGAAATCCTCTGTTTTTGATCTCGAGACGTTGTACCCATCAGGGATTTCTCCTTTCTCAATGTTGCCAACACTATTGGAGTAATGGATCAGCCTCAGCCCGTGTCCCAGGTCTTGTCGGTACCAGTACATATAGTCATGGTTATCAGTCTGGTGACATTCCAGAGTCACTGTCTCTCCTGTCACTGTGATCTTGTGTCTTGGTTTCTGGGTGATCCCGGCCTCCACAGGTCCTGTGATAGACAGAGCTGATGTTGTCATCCCAAGAGGAAGGCTAGTATTGAGGTCTTGAGAATTCCAGGGACGGGAGCCCACCTGTACTCACCTGCCCACAGGAGATAAAAAGCCATGCCGAAGAAGAGCCTGGTGACCATTTCCGGTCCTGGACAGAAGCTCATATCATCCAGTTTTGTTTTGGGGAAATAGAACTTGGGCTCTTGGGAAATCCTTGGCCGTCCAGTGGTTAGGACTCAGCACTTTCACTGCCGTGGTGTGCCTGGGTTCTATCCCTGGTCCGGGAACTAAGCTCCCACAAGCCTCGAGGCCCGGCCAAAACAACAACTTGGGCTGCCAGTAACTCAATGATGTCACTATCCTTGACACATGCTTGAGCTGCAGAGCTCAGCTGCCACAGCCCTTCCCACAGGAAGAAGTCAATAATATATATAAAGTTGAACAGCTCAGAACAGGAAGAATTAGTAAGTCTGCTTTAAAAAGAAATCTTATGTCTCTATGCTTTTTCCCTGCCTTTTAGTAAGGAAATTTTTTCTTCTCTGCATAATAACATTCCTTATTTGGATGCTGTTAAGATTTTTCATATTTCTGTAGACTAAGAAATATTCTCATGGCAATCCCAGTACTTTAGTGACCTCTCTGCTCAAAATGTTACTAGTTTTTTTCCCTTTGCCTAAACTCTGGATAATTGACTATCAGCCAGCAGTGATCTTTTCATTTAAAAAGAACTACCTGATGTCCAGAATGTTTTCAGTCTCAAGGTCAAAGTCACTGGAATTTGAAGAATTGTTTACATTGGGAGCTCCACTATCTGTGCTCAGGTCTCTATATCCTTGGGGGTAAGAGTCCTCCCTTCCCCTCCCCACCCCCCCAAGGAGGCCATGGGAGGACTAGACCACTTACCCCCTGTGACCGTGCTTTCTGTGAAAAAGAAAGGAGGCGCATTAGCAATGTGGATGAGAGACCCATCCAGACGTACACATGCGTGATGCCTCCAGGGCCACAGGGAAATGTTTTGTCTCCATTTGAAAGGTCTCATACACTCCAAATGAGAGAATATTGATTGAATCATATTTTATTACATTGAATCATAAATTGCTGTAGTGCAAGACTTACAGCTAGACAATATCAGGGCATACTGTCATTTCAAACATAGGTCATGTGAGTGTGTGTGGCTCCCCTATTTCTGTGATTATATATCTCCCTGTTATCTGGATGGGTAATTCCTATAATCACACAGTAGTGAGAAAGGATATGGAATCCAAAATCAGAGACAAGAAGGAGGCTGATGTAGCACTGCATGGAAATGCTTGTGACTGGGGTCTGGCAAACTTGGGGAAGGGCTTTCCCATCTATGCCCAGGACCCACATTGTCCCAGGGACCAAGAGCCTGACAGCAAAGCAGCCTACTGACCACGGCTGGGTGTGTGCAAAAAAAAGGGAGTTTTTCAGCTAGGACTCACATTCTTTGGGGTAGGGTACATGGAGTCCTAGAAAGCTGAGGACTGTTCTCATGATAAGGTATGATCTACCTATAATATTAATATTCTCAACAATACGCTAAATTTTAGGGAATAAGTATTTACCAGGAATATTTCCTTTTTATTTTTAAATTAATTAATTATCAAGTCACAAATTTGGTGTTGCTGAAAACATACACCTCATCTAGAAGCTTTGTCTGTTTTTTGGTTTTTAGGTTTTTTTTGTTTTGTTTTTGCACTGGTGTTTCTAGGCACCTGGAACAGTATAGAACAGTACCTACACACGGTAAGTAGTGAAGAATAGACTGGCCATAAAGTCAGTGAAGAATAAAATAACTTCAGGCCCTCTCAATTGCACAGAAATTTTCAAGACTTAAAAAATTTTTTTCTATTCTCTTTTTCAAAGAGCACCCTAACATTTGATAAGGTTTAGGCCATACCAAAACCTGGATCTACTCCACATTCAATAAGTGTTTGTTGAATGACTGAAGAAAAAAAATGATTATCTGAGTCCAGGCCGACTCTACTTTCGTAAAACATAACTCTAGTCTATTCAGTTGCAAATATCAATAGGTTCAGAGCTTTAAGGGAGCAGAGATCATGTAAGTCTGTTGGGAATTCAAAATAAACCAAAATGAATTGAGAAAGATTCATTCATATATGTTATATAAGACTTTTTGAATGACTGAATGGCAGTATGAAGAAAAGAAAAATGGTGGCCTCTTCCAAAGAGAAGGATCTTCTTATTTATTTATGTATTTATTTTTGGCTGCATTGGGTCTTCGTTGCTGTGCGCGGGCTTTCTCTAGTTGCAGTGAGCGGGGGCTACTCTTCGTTGTGGCACATGGCTTCTCATTGCAGTGGCTTCTCTTGTTGCAGAGCACGGGCTCTAGGCGCGTGGGCTTCAGTAGTTGTGGCGCGCGGGCTTAGTTGTTCCGCGGCATGTGGGATCTTCCCAGACCAGGGCTCAAACCCGTGTCCCCTGCATTGGCAGGCGGATTCTTAACCACTGCGCCACCAGGGAAGCCCGAGAAGGGTCTTCTGATGTGACATCATTCCATCACTGTCAGAGAGCAGGGAGAATGAAGCAGGGAAGGAGAAAACCAGGATAAGGCACCATAGTGAAGTTGTGCTGGGGCAACAGGAGATGGATTCCATTGGGAGCTTCTGAGAAGCCCAGGAAATGCGTCTCTGAACTATTCCTGAATGCTGACTCCGGAGCTGTCGTCCCCTGGCTCCTGTCCCACAAGAAGCTTTAGCACCCCTTCAGCTCTGGCTGCCCTGTATACGGGCCAACGGGGCTCCTGTGACATCAGAGAAGACCCTGGGGCAGAAAGCAGAGGGACCCCCAGCATGCATGTGATGGGGAGCCGTCAGCATGGGGCAAATGGACGTAGGCTTGCACATAACCCTTAACCGCAGTCAAGGATGAAATCAGAGGTGGGCTGAGGATGTGATGGAAAGCCCTAGAGGATCCTTGATGGCCACTCTTCAAGTGAAAGTGTCCCTTCTTCTAGCAGATCTTTCTCATGACTACTAATGGCTCAGAAGCTGGAATTTTCTGGAAGCACCACACCTTCTTGAATATCAGACTTAATATCAAACAGGAAGGGCTGTCCTGGGTCCCATTTTCATTTTCCCTTAAGAGGCAACTCTTTGTAGTTAGTTTCACATAATAAATTATCAGACGACTGTATTTGCATTTCAGATGATTTTGCGTCTGGAGCACAGGTGACTCAGGCAAAAGTAACCCATGCCTGCCTTTGATCCCAGCATTGCACACAGCCAGTAACTGTGCTAGACCAGAGCTGTGTCAGAGAGTTAACAGGGAACTAAGATTTCTTAAGCCTGAACTTTGTATTACGCAATCTGTTTCATTTTCTTGCATAAAACCTCTGCAAAACAGGTGTCATTGGTCTCAGTTTACAAACGGGAAAACTTAGCCAAATCTTTTCCAAGTCACCAGCTCGAGGCAGGTCGGAATAGTCCAAGGCAAAACAGACCAATGTCTCTGAAGTCAGAACTCTTTTCTCTTTAGCCTCCCAGGTGAAAGATGTTGTGATGATAACTTGTGTCAGAGTCAGTGTTTCTGAAAGGGACTTGTGGGTCAATGTTCCGATTCTGAAGATGTCTACCTCTACCAAAACGCAGAGGGGGATCTAAAGCGTGGGTGGGTTTGAGTCTCAGCTCTGATATTTGTTAGCTGTGCCTGCTTCAGCAAGTTATCTAAACTCTCCAGCAATCAGTTTTTTCCCCCTTAACGTGGTGCTCTGTCTCACGTGGTTCTTAAGAAAACTAATCGAAATAACGTACTTAAGAAGCTGGATACCTAGCACAGGAAGGGGTCTGATACTAGCAACAGTCAAAGCTTTGGGGTCCAGGGCTGTCCCACCCGAGCTCAGGACTCATCTGCCCCAGTGGGCCACACACAAGAAGCCGAGTGCCCCAGGCGACTCAGGCAGTAGGAAACTGGTCTTCTCCCTACTCAGGGCTCTGGTTTCCAGGGTGAGAGAGCAGATGTTTGATCCTCCCTTTTCTCTGTATGGAGGGCTTACCTGTGATGTCGCTGTTCTGATGTCCCTGTCCTTGTGGGCTCCCGCAGGCGTCCTGCACCCCCCCCAGGCAGGCTCAGCTGATCGAGGCCTTCCCATGCTGTCCAGTCACCCATGGAGCAGGTGGGGCTGGGTGTGCTGAGCTAGGCTGTGCAGGGCTGGGCCAGGTGATCAACCCTCGCTGCTTCTCTATTGCCCCAGGGCAGGAGCTCCTTTCCCTACACCTGTCTTGGATTATCCAGGCTGCCCCACTGAAGCCCCATCACACTCTTCACTAAGTGTAGCCTCCCAGAGAGGCCTTTACTCCCTGCCAGGCGAAGTTCACGGTTCCCTGCTGGGACAAACACACCTGCATGTTTGTTAATGCGAGAAGCCAGTGATCAGCTCTTCAAATGCCAACACTGACTCTGATTCATCAAATAATCTCCCTGACGCAGGGACCGAGCCAGGACTCTCTCGCCCTTAACCCCGCCCCCTCCTCCTCTCCCTCCCCCTCTCCCTCCCCCTCCCGGACGCTGCTAACGGAGGCTCGCTCGGTGGATCCACAGTGCCCTCAAGTGGCCAGTTGTGCAGTAGCGCAATTGCCAGAGCCCAGGCAGATCGAGTGCTACCTATTAGGATCGAAATCCGGATCCACCGGGACATGCAGGGCACAGGTCTTGCTGATTTGCTCTTTATCTGTCTCGGGCTCACCCTTAGCACGTGGTAGTGAGGGAGGCATGAAGTAAAGATTTTTCCAAGACGGAATAAAAATTCTAAACCTCATCAATTAGTGTTCTAGGAAAGGGGATACGGGCCAGTTGCCAGTTGCCCTGGGAAGGGGTGGGACCTCGGGCAAAGCTTTCTCTTTAACCAAAGATAATTCCTGGAGAGGCTGACAGTGGAGTTCTATCAGCCAAAACATCTTCCAAGCAGCCAGGGAAAGAAGCCCATCAAGTCCTTGAAGAGGACACTGCCTCCTTACATATCTTCTCTTATCTGAATATCCTGTTCAAATTTTTAAAAAGTTATTTTATTTATTTATTTTTGGCTGCATTGGGTCACTGTATTGGGTCTTAGTATCTTCTGACAAACACAGTTTTTTAAAATTTTGATAAAGAATAATTTAATTCTTTTAAAAATTAGAACATTTTTCATCCTCTTTTAGAAATCTTTGCCTACTACAAGGTCATGAAGAGAATTTGCTGTGTTTTCTTTCAGACTCTTTATACTTCAGAAGCTTTATAGATCATTGGAAATGTTGTTCCAACTCATATTAATTTTTGGTTTTGGCAAGGGTCAGCAAGCCTTTTCTGTAAGGAGTCAGATAGTAAATACGTTTGGTTGTGTGCACCCCATGCAGTTTCTGCCAGAACTACTCAACTCTGCCATTGCAGTGCAAAACCAGCCATAGGCAATACGTAGATGGTTGAGCTTAGTTTTATTCCAACAAAACTTTACTTACAGGGCTTCCCTGGTGGCGCAGTGGTTGAGAGTCCGCCTGCCGATGCAGGGGACACGGGTTCGTGCCCTGGTCCAGGAAGATCCTACATGCCGCGGAGCGGCTGGGCCCGTGAGCCATGGCCGCTGAGCCTGCGCGTCCGGAGCCTGTGCTCCGCAATGGGAGAGGCCACAACCGTGAGAGGCCCGCGTACCGCAAAAAAAAAAAAAAAAAAAAAAAAAAAAACTTTACTTACAGATACTGAAATCTGAATTTTGTATAATTATCACCTGGCACAGAATGTTATTCTTTTTATTTTTTTAACCATTTAAAAATGTAAAAACCATTGTTAGCTTCTCGGCCATATAAAAACAGGCAGAGGCCATATTTGGCCTCTGGGCCTTAGTTTGCCAACTCCTGGTTCATGGACTGAGATAAAAATTGAGATTCATTCCTTTTCCACATGGATATATATTTTTTTCCAGCACCATTTGTTGAAAAGATTATTTTTCCCCTCTTTATGCTACTTTTAGTGTTTGACCTAGGGATTACAATGTGCATCTGTAACTTATCATGGTCTATGTGTAAAAAATGTTCTATTAACCATAGGTTTTCCATAAATGCTTTTTATTAGGAAGTTTCCAGTTATTCCTAATTTGCTAATTGTTTTTTTAATCAGGAATGGATGTTGGACTTTATCAAAAATTTTTTGAGCATCTATAGAGATGATCGAATGGTTTTCCTTTGATAGTATTTGATATGATGAATTGTAAAGCTATAGTAAATAAGGCAGTGTGCTATTTGTGTAAGAACTGACAAAACAGACTAACGCATATGCAATGACTGATACATGACAAAAGTGAGATCACAGAGCGGTGAGGAAAGTATTACTCTTATCGGATAGTTATATGGAAAGCCATAACCTTACCTCTTCATTTCATATACAAGGAACTCCAGTTGAATTACACATCTTAATGTAAAAGTTTAAAATATAAAGAATTTAGAAGGCAATATAAGAAAACATGATCATTTTGAAATAGGCAAAGATTTCCTAAACTAGACACCAAAATACAAAATATAAACCAAAGAGGGGGGAAAATGGACTGATTTTGGATTAAGAAGTTCTCCTCATCAAAGGACACAACTAAGAGAGTGAAAAAGTAACCCAAAGAGTGTGTGTGTGCATGTGTGTGTGTGCATGTGTGTGTGTTCATGTGTGTGTGTGCCGGTTGAAAGGCTCATATACCTTGGTAGGAGTGTAAATTGGAAACCTCACAGAACCCTGAATGGATGATATAACTTATTCCAGTCTTCTTTGAATTACTCCCCTTTAACACCTTCTCAAGCAGGGTTACCTTTTATGAAAGCCAAACTGAGTTTCTATTTAAAAAATAGAGAAGAAAATTAGACACAAAATGACAGCAGGATTGTCAAGCAATAAAAAAGCAATATAGGGACATACATTAGCGTGCATTACTGTGGATGACAGTTCCCTGTGGATAATTTATTTCAGTGGCAACTGTTGCTAAGGATCGTAATTTGTTTATTTTTAAGGTTGGTGGCTACAGATGACCTTAACAGTGTTCTGCATTGGCTGGCCCACATCTGGGCACTGTGTGGTCTGAGTTGGTGACATTCAGTGTGAGGAGGTTATTATAAACGTGCTGAAACTAGATAGTCTTACCAGAGGCTACTTCACTCTACCTGAGACTGTGGTCTGATATTCAACCCCAATTAGAGAATCTTAAACTGTATAAAGGAATCTCAGAAACCCAGATGCTCCAGTCTTTCAAAGGTTATTTTCTGACTTCCTACTATCAGAACAGCCGAAGCCCCAAGTCCACTTATTTCCCCTGCTGAGGGAAGCGTGGGGTAAGTCCTTTATATGGGGATTTCTGGGAACTGTGAGTAGAGGTGAGCACGTGGGTGTTTGTAAACAGGAAGGAGGTGACTGTGCCACGCTGTGGCTAAGCTGCTGGCCCAGAGATACACGGTCGAGTCCCCAGGCTCTGCTCCCTGGATCTTCAGACGGGAGTACGAGCCCTCAGGCCTCTCAGCGGTGAACCAATCACTAGGCATCCCCGATGCATCTGGTGCACCTTTTCTCTGAAAATAAGTCAGAAACTCCGGGCCCTGTCCCAGCATCTGTCAGTACCAGTAAAATACTTGACCAGAAATTGGGTCACACCTGAGAACTACAGCCTGGCCCCTCCCTGTGACCCTGTGCCTGGGGGACTGGGACACTCCAGCTCCTGTGTGACCTGTGGGGATAGTAAGGAAGAAAATAATTGTAATCATCGCACACACACACACACACACACACACAGAACTGCTTGGTTTGCTGAGGACTCACCTGCCCCCAGGAGACAGAGGTAGCCCAGCAGAGGAGCCTGGAGCCCATGGCAGGGTCAGGGCAGCAGTGGGAGGTTGACCAGCTCAGGGTCCTTGTAAGCATGAGCAGAGGAGGAGGGGCGTCCATGTCCCCACAGGGCAGTTCCCATGGTGACATCACTGAGCCTCAGGATTAATTAATTAATTAAGTACATCTAAGATGTCTGCAATGCGGAGATGCACCATTTATTATGTACCATTAAGAAAGAAAAAAATGACTGTCAGTCATCATCAGAAACATTAAAAGGTGAAAACTTGTGAGGCATAGAATTAATGAAAAATGGAGGGCTTCCCTGGTGGCGCAGTGGTTGAGAGTCCACCTGCCGATGCAGGGGACACGGGTTCATGCCCCGGTCCGGGAAGTTCCCACATGCCGCGGAGCGGCTGGGCCCGTGAGCCACGGCCACTGAGCCTGCGCGTCCGGAGCCTGTGCTCCGCAATGGGAGAGGCCACAACAGTGAGAGGCCTGCGTACCGCAAAAAAAACAAAAGAAAAATGGAAATTCAGAAGTGGGTCTAAATAGGCACTGATTCTGTTAGGGCCTCACTGTCACCCCAGTGTCGCGGGGCCTGAGTCCCAGACTCCCTACCTGGCCTTCTCGCTTCTCTCCTTCTTTTCTCATCATCAGCTGGACATTTCCACCTGGATGCTTCAACAGCCCTTCACAGTTGAGGTAGGAAATGCTGATTTTATCAACTCCAGCTGAGACTCCTCTTTCTGACCTCGTTCCTGCATTCGCCTGGTGTTATGCATGATCTGGGCAGGAGTGGGCTATGTGTGTGGGCGGGGGGGGGGGGGGGGGGGGGGTGGTGGAATCGCCACGTCTTTGTCCCAAAGGCAGTCTGCACTCACAGCTCTGGGCAAGGGATGAAACGGCGCCTCTGGTGTGTACCGATCTAAGTTCAAATCTTCTAGTAATTCTGGAGGTTAAAACAAAAAGAGTTCCCTGGATTAATTCATGAATCTCCATACAGTTTTTGTCCTCAACTCCCTATCATGGTGCCTCCTGTGTTTCTAAGTCACTTCTAACATAAATAAATGTTACAGAACCTTACCTGGAGGAGTCAGAACTGTTTTACCTTTAACGTTCGGGTGAGAGTCATACAATAAAAACGCGGTGGGGGGGTTGAACTGATCCTTGGGACTCCTAACAGGCTGCATTATGAGTAATTCATTTCTCATTTTCACTCCTAGGCTAACTCTCAAAACCTGACTGGTGGCCCCCTTCAGAAAAGGAACAAGACACACGATCCTTTCCAGAAGAAGATGGGATTCCTCCAACCTGATTAAGCAGGAAAATTGACCTATTTCCGGCCCCTGAGAGTGTCCTTGGGCACTGCCTGTTTTATTAGTGTGCCCCGTTGAACAGGTAAACTGTGGCCTCACCGCTTCTCTCTTCGTCACCAGCCTTCACAGGGAAAAGGGGCAGTACAGCTGGTAACTTCACATTTGAAATAAATTATCCATTTCCACCCCCTTAAAAAGCAAAACCGATCAGAACCAGCTTGGAGTTTAGTTAACACTGTGTTCCTCTACATTTCACATGTGTGAAGCGACCACTTAGTTGCCTCTCTCCCCGCCATTCTCATTTTAATAATAGCTTCTCACAAAGGTCCCTTCCCTAAATCACATTCGTACCCGTGATGCATCTTGGGATTGGAATAATTTGCTCAAATCTCAGTTTTTCCGGGGCTAAGTCCTGATCAGCCGTCTCTAGAACTTCTCTTCTTCCAACATCATGATGCTTTTACCTGCAGTGCTGTAGGACACACACGGACGCTCCTACCTGCAGACTGAAAACCCCCAGGCTCCCAGGGGGTCCCACACAGATGTAAACAGACTGTCGTCTGTCATCTGGTTCCACCATTTATCAACTCTGAGACCACGCACGAGGCCATTAACCTGCCTGTCTATCCCCGTTATGCGATATGAAGCAGCTAACAGAAGCAAGTTAGATCTCTCATCTACCGATCTGAAAAAATAAAGTCCAAAGTAGACTAAGAGAAAAAAGTAGGCAAGTTGCAGTTAATGTGTGCAGGTGGCCCCACTTTTGTAGGGGTATTTGGGTAGACAGGTTTGCATGAGCATAGAGAAGAAGGTAAGAAACATACCCCTAAAGGTGGGATTGGATACGGCTGTGTTTGCAGAGGGAGGAGGATTATTAACATTTAACATTTTCCTTATACATTGTTGATGCTTTTTTATTATAAAACATAGCTTAGCACTATATACAAGGCATGGAAGCAACTCAAGTGCCCAACAGATGAATGGATAAAGAAGATGTGGCATATATATATATATATATAATATATATATATGCCACATTATATAATTGTATATATTATATAATATTCCATTGTATATGCACATTGTGTATATACAGTGTGTATATATAATGGGTATAAATGCCCTTTTTTTTTTTTTTGCGGTACGCGGGCCTCTCACTGCTGTGGCCTCTCCCGTTGCGGAGCACAGGCTCCGGACACGCAGGCTCAGCGGCCACGGCTCACGGGCACAGCCGCTCCGCGGCATGTGGGATCCTCCCGGACCGGGGCACAAACCCGTGTCCCCTGCATCAGCAGGCGGACTCTCAACCACTGCGCCACCAGGGAAGCCCCTAAATGCCCATTTAAAAAAATAAGCCAAGGGGGCTTCCCTGGTGGCGCAGTGGTTGGGAGTCCGCCTGCCAATGCAGGGGACACGGGTTCGAACCCTGGTCTGGGAAGATCCCACATGCCGCGGAGCAACTAGGCCCGTGAGCCACAACTACTGAGCCTGTGTGTCTGGAGCCTGTGCTCCGCAACAAGAAAGGCCGCGACAGTGAGAGGCCCACGCACGGTGATGAAGAGTCGCCCCCGCTTGCCACAACTAGAGAAAGCCCTTGCACAGAAATGAAGACCCAACACAGCAAAAATAAATAAATTAATTAATAAACTCCTACCCCCAACATCTTCTTAAAAAAAAAAAAAAAAAAGCCAGGGGTGAAGGCGCACAGCACCCTGTGCACATGGATGGCCCCTGACCGGTGAACTGGGTAAGCGGTGAGGTCGACGGTGACTTCCGTTTGTGCTGACTGTGGATTAATGTGGCTTCTGCCTCTGCAAGAACGGCCACCACCGGGAGTGGAGGCTCTGACCGCTCATTCTAGAACAAGCCTTGAATAATCCCCTTATTTGAAGAGGAAGGTAAATGAGCGCCTCCTACTGCCTGCATTTTCAAACTCAATAAAAATCAGTGATGTTTTCACAGGCTCTAGAAATGCTCGTCTTTTACTCCTAATTAAGTAGCAGTGTTGTTCACTCCAGGGTCGGTTGTGACGTTCTTCCAGTGTTCATCAACAGCTCACAGCTTTCTCAAGTGGGTGAGGGGTGCTGTCCCCAGGGAACATGTTCTAACTCCGGTCTCTCTAAGGTTTGACTCTTTGAAATAAGTAGTCTATTTTTGGTCTTCACTGCCTAAGGAGATGAAGCTGCATTCGTCTCTTAAGCATTGATGTGAACCATTCAGGCAAAACCGGGGCTTTGGTCTATCCTTGGGCCATGCTAGGCCATTGTATATTTGATTATTTCCGCCCAGAAAGACTCACACAGTTCTTCAAGGACTAATGCATGGCCTCTCTCTATAAATGGAGCCTTTGCCGTCACAAACAGCATTTCCGAAATGGCCAAGGAGGGAGAGCTGGAAAGGGCACTGCCCTGCATCCTGCCCCACAGGCAGGGTGTGGGCTGAAGCTGGGGTTTGGGGGTGAGAGACCCTCAGCTCTGTGTCTCTGGCGTTGTCCAGCGATCCATGGAAGTGGACATCCACGACACGGTTCAGTGTATCAGGCCTCATGGCCTCTAATTTATCCAAGAGGGATTTGTGCCTTGGGAAGACCTTCCCTCACATAATAGAGAAGCCATTATTGTTCCTCCGCAACGGGAGAGGCCACAGCAGTGAGAGGCCCGCGTACCGCAAAAAAAAAAAAAAAAAAATGAAAACGTAAGCTAAGACTGATAAAAGGTGTGAGCGCTGCCTACAAATGATAATGAATCAGTGTGAAATCATAGATCCTCAGTGTTGCCAAGGAGGAGGCCGTGGTAACAACCATGATGAGGTATGACCTTTCCACGGGACACACGAAGACACGGCCAGGCCTCTGTTCTCACTGACTGGGATGCAGAGGCTAATGGAGCAGCTGGTCTGTGGACTTTGTAAACAGACATGTTTGTTTCCTGGTTCTGCTTCTTCTAAACCGTGAGACATTGGGAAAATATTTTAATGTCCCTGAGCCCTTTTATCTATACAGTGGGCCTCAGAATATTGGATTTGCACAATGGTTGCAAAGTTTTAAAGAGGATGATATGTACAAAGAATCTAGCACACGTTAAGGGCTCAGCTGCCTCCCTTCTATTGAGTTGGCTGCTGCTGGGAGACATGGAAATATTTAGTGCACACAGGGCAACCTGGGTTCTGTTCGCTGGGAGTGCTCTGGGCTCAGCAGATAACAGGAAGTGGATTTGAAACGGCTAAAAACATCCCTTGCAGGAGGGAAACCTGGGTGGGAGGCTGCACGCTCTCTCAGCGCTCAAGCCAAGGCAGGGAGGTTTGTGCACAGAACATGGGGGACTCAGCAGGGCTGTGCTAAGCTACGGGCACAGAGGTACAGGGCCGAGTCCCTCAGCTCCAAGGAGCTCACGTTCAGCTCAGAGCGAGTGTCACGGAACTGTTGTGCTGAGAATCGATCTGGGAAGTTTCCTTTTTCTCTCTGCATATTTTCATAAAACTCTGAGAGGAACTGGGGGCCCTGACTCAGGGCCTGTTAGTACCAAGATACATTGAGGTGCCCAGAGACAGGGGAACATCTCAGTGTCACTGTCCATCCTGTTGTTTTGATCAGGTGTCTCAGAGTTTGGGTGACTCCAGCCTCCAACGGGCCTGTGGGAAACACAGATATGAAATGAGCACCGGAGAGAGCTTGATGGTTACCCCCAAGGTGAGGTGGGGGATTCAGGAGTCGGGAAGCTCAGAAAGGCGATAATGTCTATTCACAGGACTTACCTGCTCCCAGGAGATAAAGTATCACCCAGGGAAGGAGGCTGGAGCCCAGGGCATGCGGGGTGGGCAGTGTGCGCCTCGAACTCACCTTCTGGTCCTCCTGGGTAAGAGCTGAGTTCCGGCTTCACTCTCCCTGATTGGAGGATTACCCTGTGATGGCCCCTCCCTGTTGCCCCCCCCTGGAGGCTTCGCGAGGTCCTGCGCTCTGTGCTACCCACACGCCAGACTCTTCTCACGCTTCTGCCGGGCAGGAGGCTGACTTAGGGCGAAGTCCGTCCCCACCCAGCTGTGCTGATGTTTCTGTGAGGTACATGCTCTTTGCCCCCCACCCCCACCCCAGCAGCCATGAAGCCCCGTCCCCTCTCACCTTCCTCACCCCCCGCCCCCCTTCTGCTTGCAGGGCTCCGTGCCGGAACTCACCCACCGGCACATCAGCCAAGGGGGAGGGTCTGTAAGCCTCCAGTTCCTTCTCTGCCTGGGTACCCCCATCTCTGTGATGCTGGGGTCAGACCAAGCTTTGTGTTGATATTTTCCTTTCCCGGGCAGCAAATCCCAGCCCTCACCCTGAGCGGCCAGCGATGCAGAGACACCAAGATTTAGTCCATCTGACTGGGTCCGAAGGGGGCCTGGGTTGGCTATAAATTCTTGGGAGTGAAGATTCTCCAGAAACAAGTTTCTGCCTTTATGGGCTCGTGGCACAGACCTAGTCAACTTGGGGTTTACTGCCCTCGAGCCTGTCTTCAGTGTAGCATCCTGGAGAGTTTCTGTTTATCCCTCCAGACTCACCTGGCCCTGTGAGGCTGACCTTTACAGATTATAGTAACTGGGCTTTCTCTAGACTGAGTTTTGTTTATGGGACATAATGGCAGGGGAGTGAAGGGAGACAGGGCACCACTGTCCTGGTTTATAATAAATACGTACCCTTTGGCTTCCTTCTCCCCATTACGTTTCAGCCTAGCGACTCGTTCTCACCAAAGGCTGCAGCACCTGGAAGACAGCCGGTTCCCTAAATTACAGCAGCCAACTGCCCAGGGAACCATTCCCCCACTCCTTTCAGGCCAATGGGGATAAGAGCCGCCCACTTATGCTGTCGTAGGACCCTTCTCTTCCCTTACCGGTCCCCCTAAACCCTGTCTCACCTCTATAAGTAGGCTCTTCATTGGTCCTCCTCAACCCTCCCGCACCCTGCGGAGTAGACAGTAGATGTAGCCAGGGAAAAAAGGAAAAACGAGCTTGGAAAATGCATTGGGCCTTTTTGAAAAGTAACAAAAGTCCTAACGTTCGGCAGTTAGCAGTAACAGAAGTTCTAACTGTCTGCAATTAGCAGTGACAAAAGTTCCAACGTTCTGCAATTAGCAGTAACAAAATTTCTAACATTCTGCAGTTAGCATTGCTGAGACAGTCAGCAGAAGCATAGAGAAATATGCAATGTGAAAATAAATAGTATTACTTGGGGACAGAATCTGAAGAGGATCCAGGGAAGTATGACTCCATTCCTCAGCTACTCCTGTCCAGGGAAGTCTACAGCAGGGTGTGTTTCTTCACATATGCAGTGGAGAACTTGGGGCTCCACGCAGATCCCTCCTCAGGACACTCTCTCTGATCCCCCTCAGTGGGCACTGCCCTCCACTGCAGGGATCACCCTTGATTTAAGAGGCAAGAAAGCAAGAAGAGGGTAAATTTTACAGAGAGTGGGAAATGTCTGAAATATTTGAGATGATGTTCTGTTGAGTGAGAGGGTGAGCTAATTGGAATCTCAAAACAGAGATGTAAAGGCAGGTAAAGTTCGTGACCCGATTTATCATGCTAGATACCAGTTTGTGCAGGTGTGATTTATTCTGACAGCTCTAGCTGTTGCCCTGAAAAAGAGAGATCCATGCATTCACTTGGGTTTGGGTTTCTGTAATGAGAGGGCAACCTAAGAGGATCATGGTAAAAGAATGAAATTTGCAAGATAGGGTTAAAAGAATGTATTATAACATCATCAATTCTACTCTCTCAGGAGGTGATAAAAATATGGAAGGACCCTAAGGAATAGGAAGAAAGACAGAATAGTTACCAATGGATAGGAGATCCCGGTAATGCCAAAGAACAGATGTGGGGGGATAGGAAGCTGTGGGCAGAGTGGGATGAGTAACTCATGAACTTGGAGGTGGGTCCTTTCCAGCTGATGGCAAGGAACAGGGATGATGTTATTAAAGTGAAGCAGTGGAGCAAGAAATAGAAAGAAAAGGCTCACAACTTTGGGGTAGGCAAACAGGATGCAAGGAGCATCAAGTGTAAAAGAAAAAGCTGTTAATTTAGACTTTAAAAAAATTTAAATCTCCAATTAACCAAAGTCAACATTAGGAAAGTGAAAAGGCAAGCCACTGTGGGCCAAGACCAACTCAGCCTATTTAATGGTCAAAAGACTCCTATCTAGAATATTAAAATATCCCTTACAAATCAATAATATAAAGACAACCTGATTTTTAAAGATGGACGAATTGCAAAGCAGGCACCTTATAAGAGGAGATAGGAAGATATGAAAAAAGTAAATATCATTACTGATCAGTGAAGTATAAATGAGACACCACTACAAACCCAATAGAATGGCTAACAATAAAAAGAACACCAGATGTTGGTGTGAACGGGGGTCAAGGGAACCCCACCCCTTGGTGTTGTAAATTGGTGCAGTCCCTTTGGAAAACTATTCAACTGCTTCTAATAAAGTCAAATATGCCTCTACCCCGTGAATCCATAGCTCCACTCATGTTTATACCTAAGAGAAATGAATGCTTTTACCCACGAAGACTTGTACAAGGATATTCAGAGCAGTTTTATTCATAATAGTTGAACACTGGAGCAACCTAGGCATCCATCTATAGGAGGATGGATAAACAAATTGTGATATACAATGGAATACTACTCAGTATTATAAAGAAAAAAGTACTGATAAACACAATATGAGTACATTTCAGAAATAATAATTTTGAGAACAAGAAGTCAAGAAAACAGAGTATTTCCTGTGTGGTTCCACTTATATGAAGTTCAAGAATAGACAAAACTATAGTCATAAAAGTCAGAAAAGTGGTTATAGCTCTGGGAAGTAAGCTGATTGGGAAGAGGCATGAGGAAATTTTCTCGGGTGCTGGAAATGTTCTTTATCTTGATTTCGGTCATGGTCGCACTGGTGTAGGCCTTTGACAAAATTTACCAAGCCCCCAAAAAAAAAAATTTACCAAGCAATATGTGTATTAATTTGAGCATTTTCTCCCTATTTATACCTTAAATAAAGTATGACTAAAACAGTAACAAACAATTACACAGGAGATGGGAGTCACATTGAATTTCATTGTATTCCATGTAGTCCACCTTAGAAACGAACCACACACAAGACAGGAACAATTCCATGCATCAAATATTGAGAACATGAGAAGTTCTCAGTGATTGGAGTGTACAACATCCAAATTTGACCTCAAAATAAGCTGGACTGACAAGTTTGCTCAGAAATAGCTGAGGATCAATGGCTGAAGGAAAGCTGTAGCCAAACAAAAACTTCAAAAAAAAAAAAAATCCTCAGAGTCTGTTGAAATCATTCCAAGCATCCTGAACTGCTGTAAACGCCATAATTTGGCAAAACTGGTCATTCGTCAGTTTCACCATTTAGACTTTCAGCAGATTGTGCAATTAGTGAGTTCAGTTTTTGCCCAGCGAGCAGCCTGCTCCCTTGTCTGTAATCAGGTCCTGGGTCAGCCAGCGCTCCCCCAACCCAGGGTGTACATGGCACAGCAGGTCAAGGGGTGAGCAGCACATGGGGTTTGCCCTTCCTGTGAAGCCCAACTATGGACCCCCAGACTTGGACTTACTGGATCCCACGTGAAGAAACGCTGCTCTTGTGTATGGACTTCCACCTGTAAGAAGCCGAGGAGGGATACAGGCTGGGGGAGAATAAATTGTTGCCAATATCATTTTGTAATATTTTGCAAGAAAAAAAAAATTGAAAAGCTCATAGATTTTCATCCAAGCCAAAGGGATGATAAAAATGAGGTTCTTTCTTAATTTACAAATTGCCTAAAAGATGGGAATCATATACAATTTTATGCATGTAGTTCAACTTAGAAATGAATCACACACAAATAAGAGAAGATGAGAACAGTCACAGGCATAAGATACTGAGAACGTGAGAAGTTCTCAGTGACCTCAAAAGACCTCATAACCTCCGAAGATGCAAAATACTGCCCTGTGCCCACAGGAGAGACTTAGTTTGTCATCTTTCTTTTGATAATTCTACAGTTGATCATCTCGGGGTTTAATGCTGCTGTTTGATGCATCTACTCACATTTCCCCTAAGTGGTTTGTTTACTTACGTGTTTCATAATTTGTTACTGAAAATTGTTTTTCTCCAAAGAATTCTTGCTTGGTATTCAATGAGCCCCAGGCACCTTTGTGTAACAGTTTCAAGCTTGGAGAGCCCCAGATCGCTCAGGGAATTTAAAGCTGCACGGCTGTTTTCTGTTCAGCTCTGCGCTGAAAAAGGAAGCGAAATATAAATTTCATGTTAGATGCTGCTGTCCTTCGGCTTTATTTATATATATAGGTATATAAATAAATACCTATATTTATTTATTATACTCAATTCAGAATATTCTGAATTGAGTGACGTAACACTAAGTGCTATTTGCATTTACTTCTTCTAACCATTTTTAAATTGAAGTATCATTAATGTACAATGTTGTGTTAGCTTCAGGTGTTCAGCAAAGTGATTCAGTTATATATGCATACATATCATCTTTTTCAGATTCTTTTCCATTATAGGTTATTACAAGACATTGCATATAGTTCCCCGTGCTCTACAGTAAGTGCTTGTTGTTTATTTTATACATAGTAGCGTGTATATGTTAATCCCAAACTCTTAATTTATCCCTGCCCCCCCCAACCCTCCTATCCCCTCTGGTAACCATAAGTTTGTTTTCCATGTCTGTGAGTCTATTTCTGTTGTGTTTTTTTTTATACACCTTTATTGGAGTATAATTGCTTTACAATGGTGTGTTATAGTTCTGTTTTGTAAATAAGTTCATTTATATCCATTTTTAGATTCCATGTATAAGTGATATCATACGATATTTGTCTTTCTCTGACTTCACTTTGTATGATAATCTCTAAGTCTATCCATATTGCTGCAAATGACATCATTTCACTTTTTTTAATTGTTGAGTAATATTCCATTGTGTATATGCACCACATCTTCTTTATCCATTCAGCTGTCAATGGACATTTAGGTTGCTTCCACGTCTTGGCTATTGTAAATAGTGCTGCAGTGAACATTGGGGTCATGTGTCTTTTCAAATTAGAGCGCGCACACACACACACACACGCTCACAAACACACACACACACACACACTCACACTCACACCCTTCACGCTGATGGACCTCAGTTCACACTAGTCTGGTGAGAGCTTCAGAAAGAGCAGTTTTTCTCCCCTGGTGAGACGTGGCCTCGGGAAGAAGTGTCCACCTCACGCCTGTGGCCGAGGTTTTTGTGCGGAGAGCAGCTGACTGTGCCGTGCTGTGGATTCACTGCTGGCACAGAGGTACAGGGAGGTCTGCTTGGTGCTGGCCGGCTCCAGGGTCAGGGGGAAATGTTCATTCTTCTTTCGGGAGACACTGTACCCTTCCGTGACATCCCCTTCGCCAGTGCTACCGACGCCATTTGAATAATGGATCAGCCTCAGCCCCTGTCCCAGATCTTGCCGATACCAGAACATTCCCACATGGTTCATATCCTGAGAACAATCCAGGACCATCTTGCTTCCTGCTCGTATAATATGGTATCTTGGCTTCTGGGTGACTGCTGCATCCATGGGACCTGCTGAAGAGGCAGACACACGGTAAAGACAAGGCTCAATGAGTAACGTGGATCTGCAAAGGAAAGGGAAAGCCTTGGAGCTGGGGCTCTGCAAACCCACAGCAGAGGTTTCAGCTGAGTTCCGAACTCACCTGCCACCAGCAGACAAAGAATCACACAAAAGAGGTTGGGGCTCATGGCAGGGTGAGGGCGAGAAGAGGGCTGTCCCCACTAAATGCTCTGTTCCACAGGCCTGAGAAAGGGAGCTGGGGGGCTCTTCTCCAATGGCCAGGTGGGGCTGCCTGGGATGTCACTCCCCCTACCCCTGCAGATTCTCCCCGCCCCGGGAGGATCCCCCTGTGACTTGGCTCAGGTGAGGTCAGCGTCTCCTCTCCTAGATGTTGCTTAGCTTGCCCGCAGGGGAGGTGGAGTAGGGCTGCGACGCTCTGACTTTTGGGCGCGCTCCGCCCCCTGGGTTTCCCATATTCCTCTGACACCGTTGCTCCTTGTCTGCACCTGCCCCTGACATCAAGGCTGCTCCGCCCAAATCCTTCAACTGTGGATTTCATTACAGTTTAGAGGGGCCTCCCACTTCTTCCATAGCTGTAGGTAGTTTGGCAATAACTGAAAACTTCTTCAACAGCTGTCGAGCAGTGGATCCACGCCTAAGTTTTTCTTAACCCTTTTCCTCCCAGGCTGCTCTCCCAGACTCTGCCCAGAGCCCCTTAGATCTCGGTGGCGCCATAGTGCCATCTTGTGGCCAATACCTGAAGTTTCATCACTGTTTCTTCTGCAGTGGCCCAAGGGGTGCTGGAAGTGTCTGCAGGATCACCTTTTATGCTCAACTTCCTTCAACGCTAATCCCAACACCAGTTCTAACCCAAACTATTCCGTTGATTTATCATGCTTAATAGGCTGCCCTCATTCTGCTCAACCACTATCGCATTGTCTGCCAGTTATAGGCCAACTGAGTTCTTCCCCCTTAAAATTATCTTCTGAAAGGGAGAGGGATAGAATGGGAGAAATTAAAGGAACTGATGTTTAGTTAAACTAATGTTTACTTTAAACTAATGTTCAAAGTAGGAAGAAAAACACAGACCTTGAAGTGTAAGGAGGTTCTTTTACCTTCATTACAAAAGATAAAGAAAAATGCTGAAGAAAAATAAAAGACAACCAATGTTAACTCCAAAATATAGATTAGCAAAGGACTGGGAAGGTAATGAAATTACCTTCGAGATGGGGTCAAATGCGTACGAGTAAAAAGTAAAACTGGAATGTAAGAAAAATAAGAACATCTTACAAGGCATTAAGCAATCACAGAGGAAACAGTATCTGATGGGGAAATAAGGATGGATGGGATTAAGACCAGCAAGGGACAGTCTCCACTAAATGAAAACTTGTACAATGTGCCTCTGCTGATTTGAGCAGCAGGGAGGGAAGAGATGATTCTGGAAGAAGCAGAGGAGTTAGGAGATATGAAAACATCGGTACAAAATAGTAGTATAAGGAGGCTGAATCTGCCAGGTTCATGTGGCAAAAATGGGGAAAAAAATGGAAAAAAAAATTGAAGATGAAATCTAGAAAGGGAGTCCTTGGAATGGGATTCCAAGAGTAGGGAATTCCCACGTGTGCCCTGGCTCTCCTCACTCCCCAGAGGCACAGGGCAACAGAGCAAGGGGAGCTTTGCTGGTGCCACAATTAAAGACCAGGAAAACTCCCTCCCAGGGATGCTCACTCCCTGGGGAAAGAACTTTGTTGTACAGAGACACGACAACTTCTGATAAGTGGCTTTGGGGCAACTGTCACTCCCCTTACCTGCTATGCAAGGCTCAGGGAGCCTCTACCATGGCCGTGACATTCAATCCCAGTCCCGGAGCTGGGTTATCTCTTAGGACTCCCAGAAGACATGGTCCATAATCATATCCACTCTGACCAGGGCCTTAGATTTCATACATTCAAACCGCAGCTTCGCCCACAGATGGATGGAAGATGTTATTTACAATAGAGGTGTTTATGCTTATAATGAATATCTATGACAATATATAATATAGCAAATACATAAAAAGGGTTAGGGACATTAGAAAATAAGGTAAAGGTTTCAGGGAAATTATTTCAAATGAAAAGGCTAGGGCATGAAATAAAACAGTCTCTCGAGAACAGATTTACTCAGGAAATCAAGATGAAACTGGAGAGGTTGTAAAAGTATGCTCTAGTGTCCCTGTCGGGACTGAGGCAGTGAAAACATGAAAACAAAATAAAGTGGGCTGCTGAAATGAGGCAGAGGAAATGAAGTCTTATTGTTTTCAACATTGCGTTTGTCAATTAACTGGCACAAAAGTAGTAAGGACTTTACTTAAAACAGGAAGAGAGGGTTTCCCTGGTGGTGCAGTGGTTGAGAGTCCGCCTGCCGATGAGGGGGACACGGGTTCGTGCCCCGGTCCGGGAAGATCCCACATGCCGCGGAGCGGCTGGGCCCGTGAGCCATGGCCGCTGAGCCTGTGCGTCCGGAGCCTGTGCTCCGCAATGGGAGAGGCCACAGCAGTGAGAGGCCCGCGTATCGCAAAAAAAAAAAAAAAAGTGATTCCAGGGAAGCAGAATTGATGTGGGGAGCCCTTGCCTGTTTATAATCAGGGGAGGCCTGCCCTCATCTCTGGGCGGGAGGCACCCGTCTTCGCCCTGAGGAGGCGGGACTGGGGTAAGAGGTCAAGAAGGGACAAGTCAGAATCATGTCCAGGCTTCTCACACCATCATCACATCATCTGTGTGGTGATGACCTCACCTGGGCCAGCCCCCAGGTGATGCTGGTTGTTATAAGGCCTGGCTTAGTATTTTCTGGTGATTGAAGACCTTGGGAGAGGAAAGGAGGAAAGAGATCATGTTACAAATAACGCAGTTTTTGCTTATTTTGTAGCTCTAGCTCTGTTCTCAAGCATCTCAGCCATATTTTCTGTCCTAGACTTTCCCCAAATCTCCATTTCTTCTCCCTAAATTATATAAAGCAAACCCCTGATTCTATTAGAATCACACATTTATCAAGTAATTTTGCTCCCCCAATGAACTCTCTCTCCCTGAAAAAGAGCCCGCCGGCTATTAAGTTACAAACTCTTCTCTCCCTGGTAGCATCGAGTGTCAGGCCCGGAAGGTCATGTTGGAGGGAACCTGCTGATGTAGCCCCAGCCTCTGAACATATCTTCTTGACCTCTGTGTTCCCTCCTCTGAGCAGCACAAGAGCCCGTGGCTGCTTTCCAGCGCCCTCAGTCATTTTCCTTTCCCACTGCAATCTCTAAGCTCTCGTGCATCTGTCACCTCTGAGGTTGCCCCCACTGGGGCAGGGAGGTTTGCACAGAACGCGGGTGACTCAGCAGGGCTGTGTTAAGCTGCTGGCACACGGGTACAGGGAGCTCACGTTCAACTCAGAGCGAGCATCACAGAACTGTTGTGCTGAGAATCGACCCGGGAAGTTTCCTTTTGCTCTCTGCATATTTTCATAAAACTCAAAGAGGAACTAGGGGCCCTGACCCAGGGCCTGTTGGTACCAAGACGCAGTGCGGTGCCCAGACATAGGGGAACACCTAGTATCACTTGGTGTCCTCTTGCTTTAATCAGGTGTCTTGGTGTTTGGGTGACTCCAGAATCCACTGCACCTGCGAGGGAAGGAACTGCGGCTGGAGAAAGAACGCAGGAGAGAGCCCGATGGACCCCAATGGATTCAGGCACTGTCAGGCTTAGAACAGAGATGCCACGCCTTTACCAAGGATGGACCTGCTGCCAGGAGACACAGAGCCACACAGCAGAGGAGGCTGGAGCCCATGGCAGGAAGGGGCAGAGCTGGGCAGGTGTCACCTTGCTCAGAGCTCTGGTTCTCTGAGAGCTGAAGTTCTGGGCATCCTTTCTCTACTTGGAGGTTAGGCAGTGATGTCACTGCTCTGACGTCATTGCCTCTGCTGGTTCCCATGAGTCTGGCCTCCCTTTCCAGGTCAGCTGATTCAGGAACCCTGCTTTGTCCTGCAAAGCCTCTTATGTGACATGTGGGGCTGGACTGCGCTGGCCTCAGCGAGGCTGGGTGTAGGCCACGTGCCCATCCCCACAGCTCCTTTGCTTTTCCTTTGAGGCAGGTGTTTCTCTACCTGTACCTGCCCCCTCCCAGCTCCACACCCTTCACTTTCCCTTGTAACCTCAGAGACTCCCTCATCACTGCATAGGTGAAGTTCATGGCTCCCATCTGGGACAGCACACCTGTAAATTAGTGTCTATGCTATTAAGCCTTCCAGAGGACAAAGCCATCAAACAAAGCTGTTTCTTAACCCTCCTGGTCCCAGGCACCTAGCTCTGTCAGCTTGCTCTGCCCCAGAAACTTTTGGAGTTTGGCAATTCCACAGCGCCCCCACGCGGTCTATGGGTGGTAGCCAAGACATTGTCTTTGCCGTCATGTAATAATTATGGGATGTGTTTAAATTAGAAACTATTTCACTGTTTGCCTATTGCACTTTTTGTTTGTTTTTTGTGGGGCTTTTTGCTTTGTTTTTCCTAAAAGGACACACACACACACACAGGCCCTAGCTGATTTGTGATTTTGTATTTTAAGAGAAAAAAGAAATGTGGCCATGGTGGAAACGTTTTGACTTTGAGAAGCTTTTGATGAGGGAAATGGTACAAACCTGGTCTAGGTTAGGTGAGATGCTAAAGTTGTTTTTCCTTAGATAACCTAGGACAGCTCGCTCAAAGCAGACCACTTAGGTCTCTTTGCAAGGTCCCCACTAATCAGCTTACCCCAGAATGAAGAAAATAATACTCCCTGTTTCTGTACTGCTGGAGAATTTCTTTATCTTCTATGTCTCTCTTTTAGAAATCCTCTTTTTGCCTCTGTTCATTGATAATAATATAATGCCTATTTGCCCATATATGAATAAATATGTGTGTAGATAAATTATATTTCTCTATGTTTTTCTTTGATGCCCGTGTGGGAAATAAAATATCCTAACCTTTTGCAATTAGTATGCTAGAAAGGCAAGGCCAGTCTGGATTAATGTAGGATAACAAAATAAACAGAAGGATTTGGGAAAACAGAATCTGAGAGGGACTCGATTCCAGAGCCAGTATCTCCCATTTGCTACTTCTGACTTTTAGTTTACTTCCAACCCAAGTTTCTTTACATATTTACATTTGACTTACCTGTTATTCAGTTTTACATAGTGTATTACATAGAGTGAATATAGATATTCTAATGGAATCTATTTCTTTACTTCCAAGTCCAAAGGCAACAAGTCCATCAAATACCACTGAGAAGAGATCACTGATCCAGCTGCATGTGACACTGATGGGCAATGCATCAATGTCATCAATGACTAGTTGCTGTGCCAACCAGCCAAGAGTTACCAGTACCTCTTATAAGATCCACCCAGTGGAGGAAAATTCCACCCTGAGTGATGCCCCATGGATATAAACTAGATGAAATTATCTCAAGCCCAGATGGGAATGTCCTATAACTAAATATTTTTTCTGAATTTTGTGCATACATAACTCAAAACCTTTCACAATAGCAGCTGATGTGTCTTATGGAGTTTCTAATGGTAGAGAAGGAGAAGTTTCTACACAAAATCATAGAAGTATAAACAATCACTATAAATCACACTAAGCAAAGTGTGTTTCTCAGTTTTAAGGAACACTTGGCATGGTTTGGCTTCACTTAGATAAAACTGCCGGATTGCCAATCAGTTCTTAACTACTGATATTTGAAAAAAACCAGAACATCTAAGATTGCTTAAGAGATGCCTGAGACCCCATGATAAGCAGCCATTACATTTCAGACAAGAGGAGCCCAGCCGATATGGTAACAACGCGTGAAATATGAGGGCACCGAGTGCTGCATCCTGCTAAAATTGTGAACTAGCGCCATCTCCTGGCTCCTTCTCCAGGGAAACCTGATGAGGCAGGAAGCAAATGTGAACACGAGAGACTCACCAAAACCAAGAGAATATTCTGGAAAGATTGAGTCTATTTGGGGCTGGAATATGAGTAAGATGAGAGGTGAGCCCAGGAGAGCAGTGAGACAGCAAGATGGTAAAAATAATTGAAGCTCTGCTCTCACCCGACCTCTTCTTTGCTCTGAGACAATCTTACCTGCATTTTTACTGCAGGAATCAATAGCAGGATAAGTGATACCATTAAAGGACTGAAAACAAAAAAGATAACCAACTGGACAGTATATATCCCCAGAAAGCGAATTACTGAACCCGATGAACCAAGAATTTATAACAAGCATGACAAATATACTACGTGAAGATCTGCGATATAAACAAGAATATAGAAGACGTCTACCACATAAGAAAATTTAAGGTCAACTTATCGAAGATCTTACCAGCAGCCCACCTAGTATATTTTACATCAGCATTTCAAAGTGCTGTATTACGGGGAAGAATGTTCATGTTCTCGAATTCTGTAAAAGAAGCCAATGTTTCATGTAAACACGAGGTTTTCCTTCCAGTAGGAACTAATATATATTACCCTTTTCTTAAAATAATGACTCCTATCATCAGGGGATTTTTTTCCCCCGTTTTTATAAAAACAAGGTTTCAGCTAATACATTTATAACCCAGATAAGATCTGTGAAGCTCTCTCTTCTTTGAAAACTAGGTGAAATTTCTTAGAGGTTATAAATTCCAAAAGCTATGGAAATTCAAAGCCCTTCCAGAGATCTCTGACCATGCCCATGGACATTTGTATTTTCCTGGTCTTCTCTAACCCTGTCTCATTACATGTCCATAAAGCTAAGACCTTTCTGATTTCCTCAACAAAATTATGTACATCAAGATCCCGTGAGTTTAGTAGAGTCTAATGAAGATTTGGGTGGTTCTGTAAAGGAATCGTATGATGCGGAACACAGATTTTCACCATTTGCCTCTCATCCTTACCCACTGCACTCCCTTCCAAGACTTCCCAGAATCTCAAATTATTCTACCTGTATTATATTGAACAGTGTCCTTGGAGTTTACCCTGCACACTTAGCACTTCTATTAAAATATTCTCATCAACAATACTTTCCTCCCTAAGAAATAGGGTATAATCTCTTTAAGACACTAAAATTTAACTTTTCTGCATTCAAAATTATGGTTAACCGATTCTTTTTTTGAATGGAACTCATCTCTATTCAAAGACTGTCTGTTTCTAAATTTTAATTTAAGCTGTTCTTTCGTTTTATTATTGTGATAAAATATATATAACATAAAACTTACCATCTTAAGTCTATAGTTTAGTGGCATTCACATTATGCTACCATCACCACTTTCCATCTCCAGAACATTTTCATCTTCCCAAAATGAAACTCTATCTGTTAAATACTAACTCCTCATTCCCTCCCTCACCCCAGACCCTGGAAACCTCTATTCCATTTTCTGTCTGTATGAATTTGACTACTCCAGGTGCCTCATATAAATGGATACAAACACAATTTGGCCTTTTATGTCCAGCTTATTTCACATAGCATAATGTTTTCAAGGTTGATTCATGTTGTAACACGAATCAGAAAGTCGTTGCTTTCTAAGGCTGAATAGTATTCCATTGTACGTATATATCACATTTGCTTTATCCATTTATCTCTTGGTTGGACAGGTTGTTTTCACCTTTTGGCTATTGCAAACAATGCTTCTATGAACACAGGTGTGCTAATATTTGTTTGAATTTCTGCTTTAACTCCTTTGGGTATATAGCCAGGAGTGGAATTTCTGGATCATATGGTAATTCTATGTTCAGTATTTTGAGGAATTGCCACAGTTTTCCATAGTGTTTGCACTATTTTATATTCCCACAACAACGCAATAGGGTTCCAACATCTCCACAACCTCACCAACATGCGTTTTCTGTTATTTTCTTTACTCTCACTCTCCGTTTGCCTGGGGCGGGAGTGGTGGCGGAAGGGCTTCTGTTTTTCCCCTGTTTAGTGCAGGTGCCTCTTGAAGGAGAACCACCTTGTTCCTTCTCAGAACTGAGTGCCTGTGACTCTGCAGCCCTGTGGCATCCCAGCTGACACAGAAGTGCGGAGACTTCCGGCTTGTGGTGGCTGACCCCATTGTCGGGGGGAACATCTCTGTATCTTTTTGAGACCAGTAACCTTCAAATACTCCAGGGACCGTAAGGTTTGCTCTTTCTGACTAACGGATCAGCCTAAGTCCCAGTCCCGAGTCTTGTCAATACCAGCACAAGGCAAAATGGTGCATCGTCTAAGACTGTTCAAAGATCAGCTTCTTTTCCATCTCCATAAGGATCTTGGTATCTGTCTGACCTGAGCATCCACGGGTTTTGATAGAAAGGATATGTAAGCTACGATAGAGACAAGGAAGCAGATGAAGGAAATAACAAGGATCTGGAATTGGGAAACCCACATCAGGAGTTTCCCTCCTGTTTTCTGGACTTACCTGCTCCCAAGACACAAGAGGCCACAAATCAGAGAAGCCTGGCACCCAGGGCAGGTCAGGGAGGGAGGGGCGACCCCCTGCCCAGTGGTGTTCATAGGTGAGAACTGGCTCTCTGAGCCTCTTCACGATCTGACAGCCAGGTCTTCCTGGGACATCAGAACTCTTACAGGTCCTCCAAGCCCAGAATCCCCTCTTATGTGCCTCAAAATTAGTCACTGTCTCTTTCTCTTTTCTAAAGTAGGGCCATGCTCCGTGAAACTGGGTTTGGGGACTTCGCTCATGCCCTAGCTTCTCTGATCTTCCTTTGAGGCTATCACTCCTCTGTATACACTTGCCCCTGGGTACCCAGTATGCTCCTTCAAACTCCCTCCCTGTCTAATTTTCTTCCCAGTTTCGAAGCATTTCCCACTGTCTACAGAGAGCTCTGCTCGTATTCTCGCAGCGGCTCAAGATTGGCAACCGATCTGCCCGACAAAAGTACAAAGCTTTCTGAACTCCTCACTTCGTGCAGCTCTTTCTGCCCCTCCCCACAGCATCTTGCGGTTCAGTGGAACCACAGTGCCTCCTCTTAATAAATTGGAAGTGTTTACATCGTCAGCCGGGGCAGGAAAGTTTCCGGTAATTTCCTGGATGTCTCACCAGCATCCTCTCCGGAGCCCTCCCGGCTTCCCGTGCGGTATTTCCCAGCTGAAGGCAGCACTAATCACGACTCTTCCGAATCACCATATTGACGTCCCTTCCCCCGCTTCTGCTTCTTTTCCAACACAAACGGAAGCAACTGAAACTCACCTTCCTAGCAAAGATCAGGAATGGGGCACTCTGTGCTCTGGGAAAACCGGCAGAACAGGCCTTCAGATAGATATTTTCAGGAGAAATTTTCAAGAACCTGGATTCTTGCATCTTCCCATACTTAGAAAAGCACTAAAACGATGAACTAAGGTGTCTGTTCCTTGTGACCAGCAGCAGCCTTCTACCGAGATGTGAGCTTGGTTGCAGGTACCCTTTGCCAAAATCACAGATACGCTCACATCCCCCCCGCCAATGCCTTTCAGAGCAGTTTCTCAGAGCTCTCTCAGAGTCTGTCTCCCCGGCTATATCCCTTGGTAAGACATTGAAGAAACCTGACTCACGGCTTTTCTGCAACCATGGCAAGCCACATGCAAGTTCCTGCACATTTTACAGACGGGAAAAGGAAGATGGGAGGTCTGCAGTAAAAAAGGGTCCAAGGCTTTTCACTGACTGAGTCGTTGCCAGGAAAGAAGAGGAATCTTTTTCTTTTCTTGGGCTCTGCTACCATCACAGGGCTGGAGAGCTCCACCTCCTGGTCTCCCAACTCTGTTTAATTGGGGCTTCTGTTTATTAATTTTTTACATTACACAGGAAGGTCACATATTCACAAATACACAAAATGTGCTAGCTCTGAGCCCTAAGTACCCACATTACCCAACGGCTTGATTCCATATGAATTCCTAAGGAGCCCCAGGGTTGTTTATTGGTTGTGAATCACCTTAAGCTGAACCCAGCAGGGGTTGACCCTTCAGGCCACCGTCTTTCAGGTTGCCTCAGGGGCTTGTGTTTCTTCCCAGCTGCCTGGAAAACCGGCCCTGTCTGCTGCTTCCAGGGGTCAGAATGTGGGGGGAAAAGGGGGGCACGTGCTCAGCCACTAGTGGTCCCTCAGGGAGGAAGGGTAGGCGCCCCTTCACTCTGGGCCACCCTGTTAGGGAGATCCACCAGCAAAACCCCATGAGCCACCATGACCACCGCTCTTAGCAGACATGTCTCCCATTAGCCACAGCTGTTTGCCCAAGCCTGAAGCCTCTTCCTGTTCAGGACTCTGAGATGAAGCCCACGTTTGGGACACAGGTGGGGTAAGTATAGGTCTCACCTTGTTGTTCAAGGGGAATTATTAACAGCACCACTTTCACTCCCCTAACAATATGAGACTATACATCTCCTCCTCATTTTGCATGTTCTCTCTATGGTGTTTCTGTCTTAGTAGCCCCAGCACATCTTTTCTAGAGGAACTGGTGATTTCATAACATGAAGGAGATTTCTTTAGGGTAGGCTGAGCCCTCATCATACATGACCCTGTGATTGACTCTTCCTCTGAGACACATGGGGTCCCTGCGATGCACTAGCCATACTTCCCATATCTTGGGGTGAGGAAACTTTTGTTGAAAGGAAAGAGGGAAGGAAGGAAGGAAAGGGGAAGGGGGGAGGGAAGGAGGGAGGGAGGGAAGGAAGGGGGAGGGAGAGAGAGAGAGAGAGAAAGAAAGAAAGGAAAGGAAGGAAGGAAAGGAGGGAGGGAGGGAGGGAAGAAAGAAAAAGAAAGAAAGAAAGTAAGGAAGAAAGAAAGAAGAAAGAAAGGAAGGAAGGAAGGAAAGGAGGGAGGGAGGGAGGGAAGAAAGAAAAAGAAAGAACGAAAGGAAGGGAGAGAGAGAGACAGGGAGGGAGGGAGAAAGAAAGAAAGAAAAAGAAAGAAAAGTGTGTAACCAATATAAAATACTTAATTCACTAGCACAACAGTACCGATTTATTTCTCTAACTGAATACTTGAGGTCCACCTGCCTTATTAATGGGACATCCAGTATCTCCCTTGTGAAGTATTCTCTGCATCATTCCTCCAGCCAGTTGTTCAGGAACCCTCAGGTCTTAGCCTCTGAGAAGTCAGTCCTATCTTCGCCCATCATGCCCAGAGTGAGCAGTTCACGCCAGTTGCGGGCACGGGAAGTTCTGTGGGCGTTTGCTCTTGCCCAGTGTGTCCTCTGTGGTGACCTTCTTGTTGGCCTGGATCCCTGCTGGCCCAAGAGCATGAGATCACATTCACAGGGGCAACCACTGTTCCCCAAAGAACCTCTCTGTCCTGGCTGGCAGGGTCCTGAGGTGCTTCTGCCTCAGCTGCCTACTGTCCCAGAACACCCCTCTCCTACCGGTACTAGGCTCTGGCGTTGAGATCCTTCACCTTCTGGAAAGTTCCCAGTTGGGGCTCCTAGGTATCCCCGTGCAAACCCCTCCCCTCCTCTCCAGTAAGCCAATCTCCACTCAGAGATGGAAGGAAGGCATGTTCTGCTAAATAGGAAATAACACAGAGACCAAAAGAGAATACACAGGTCTCTCTGTAGGCTCCCCAGGTCACTCACTGGCTACACCTGTCCCATCGTTGGGGTCCCCGGCCACATTCTGTGGTGTCTGGGAACCTTTCCCAAATACCACAGCCCCAGATATCCTGTGCAATATTTCCTTTTCTGCTAATTAAAGTTAATTTTGACCTCTGCTACTGGGGAGCAGCTGCAGTCCCACCACACATTCCCCACCCGCCTTGGGCAGGGCAGGGAGGCTGAGAGCCTGGGGAGAGCAGCGAAGCTGTAGGGTTGGTGGAAGGGCAGGAAGTGTCTCTGCAAGGCCGTGGCTGAGCTCCCGGCACAGAGGCACAGGGCCGAGTCCCCCAGCTGTGCAGGCTGGGTCTTCAGAGTGAGGCACACGCCATCAGGCATCTCAGCTGAGAAGTGATCCTTCAAAAAGTCTGCCTTCTCTGAAGACACTTTGTTATGGATGGACATCAGAAACCCCATGCCCTTTCCTGGGGTCTGTTGGTACCAGAAGAGATACAAACAACAGGGCACAGGACCACATCCCAGAGTCACATTCCGTCCCATCCCTGTGACATAGTGGCAAGGGCTTTGGCTGACACCAGATTCTCTGCGTCCTGTGGGAGGACAGAGTCCAGAAAGAGAATGAGGCAAAAGTTTGGAACTGGCCTTAGGTCCAGGGAATGAGATGGGAGTTTTCCACATACCCCCAGGAGACAAACGATCACCCAGCAGAACCTGTGGTCCACGGCAGGGGCGGGGCAGGGCTGAGGTCTCCCCAGTGGGGCATCAGGTCTTTAGCAGCCCAAGCGAGGAGACTCTGTGACGATGTCCTAGTCTTGGGCAGCACCCACAGACTCAGGAGTGCCCACACAAGTGCCTCGTGCCAACGTGGACACAGGGTGCTCCAAGGCTCAGCCCCCGTGTGCCCTGGAGCGTTCAGGCTCCCACGCCCCGAGTGAAAAACTGCAGTTGCAGAGGGACCCTGGGAGAATACAAGCTTTGGGACAGTGAGGCCAGGTATGAAGACCCAGACAGACAGGCGGGACCCACTCCCTTCTCTAATGGCCAATTCAGAGCCGCAGTCCAGAGGCGTGGACTCTGTGTGTCACAATCCTGAGCCTGATGACTAAAATGTTGGGAGTGAAGAGATCAAACGAAAACAAAAAATAACCCTACGAGTGTCAGTGTGGAGAGGAAATCTAGTGAGACGTTGAGACCTGAAACCTAAAATGACATTTCAGAGCAAGGGAAGGAGAGTGGACGAGAAAGCAAGCACCCAGCCCAGCGCGCTGGCTCTGAACTGAGGGGCGCAGGGCCCCGCTGACTGCCTGAGGGGTGGAGAGCAAGCGTCTGTGCAGATTTGGCGCTTTGATCAGGCTGGGGCTCGGGGTCTAGCCTTGGGTGGGAAAAAGAGAAATCGGAGAACAGACGAGCCAGGTTATAGAATATGGATTTGGTGAGGACAGAGAGACACAGCTTTCTCACACCTGTTTCCCAAAGGCTGGGTCTCCTACTGTCCTTTGCGGGGTCTCCAGTCCTGGGACCCTTGCCTGGAAGTCCTTCTCTGATTCCCCAAAGCTCCGTGCTGCTCAGCCCTGGGAGGCCACAGCCTCGGCAACAGGGAATCCTCGGTTCCTGAAAAGAAGAAGCTCAGAAGTCAGGTACCTGCCGAGTTCCCAGCAACGCACTTCCTCACAGGGCGGCGTCCTTCCTATCCTCTGGGCCCGTGTAGGGTGTGAGTCCTGGCGTGCAGGCATCCGTTTAGAGGATCCCTATGAAACCTTAAACCAAAGCATCCACTTTACAGCAGGTTTGTTTATTTCACGACAAATAAAGCATTGAAATAGTAGATGGGGGTGTGTTTATCTCTTAACCAGTTGACAGGGCAGAGTCACACTCGGGTGAAAAAAACCCCCACTCTAAAGACGCAGAATAGAGAGTCGCCACAGGGGTCGACTTGGGTATTATGGTTTGAGGCTCTGTGGGGGGTCTCCCTGTCCCTGGAGCATCCTCTGCAGGAGAGAGGAGGGAGCCTTGGTGCACATGCAGACAGCTGACCCTCCAGGACGCAGGGCTTTGTCAGCCCTTGGCTGCTGGGTTGTGCAGCCCAGAGAGCCATTACAAGGAGCAGAGCCGGAAGATACAGGGTTCAGCCCTGGGTACAAAGTCCTGCTCTGAAATGTCAGGAGCCCATCACTCCTCACTGCCTGCTGGAAGCAACAATCCAAGCCCGTCGGACTCTATGGCTGATCATACAGGAGGCGAAGGCCTGAAGAGCTAGGGTTACAAAGACAGAAGGAAAAAGAAGCAAGCCTGAAAGCGTTAAGGCTGGAGTGGAAGAGAAGCCAGCGAGCGGCTGAGCCCCTGAACGCGCAGCCGGCGGAGTGAACCAGAGAATAGGAATCCCAGCGGGATGGGGGATCCGTGGTCCTCAGGGGCAGGAACAGCTGGAGACCCTGGTGAGGGAATGAGGTGCTTTGAAAAAGGTCTGAGCATAGTTGGAGCTGGGATCTGGGCTGAGATCCAGGGTCTAACTTGGATGGAAGGGGAAGTCAGAGAAAGACACCTTTTAGAAGGAGGATTAGTAGTACTGCTGCGGCCAGAAGGTCAAGTGTCTCATGAAAGACTTCCCAGGGGCGCCAGCCAATTGGAAAATCCTTGGGACAACTTAAACTTGAACGTCTGTCCTCTATTCACCCAGAGGCACAATCTTGGTCAGGACGAGCCCGGCACAGACTGCTGGCGTCTGTGGGGATCTGAGCCCTGCCATGCCCCATGAACCTGCGGGCAGTATTGTGGTCTGGGATTTCTGTCTAGGGTCTAATGGGAAGTGGCAAACGGTGCCTTGGCTGGCCCCCTAGCTTCCTGGCTGGCCCCTGGAGGTTTGTGCACAGGAAGGAGTTGGCTCTGCAGGGCTGTGTCTTTGCTGCTGGCGCAGAGATACAGGGCGGAGTCTTCCAGTTTCAGGGTGTCCACGTGCAGGTTGATGCGGGAGCTGTCTGGGCATTCAGGCCAGAAGCGACTTGGAACAGTCTCATTGCCAGCAAGTTCCTTGTAGTTGTAGACGAACATGAGCTCCGGCGGCTTCTGAGCTCTCTGTTTATACCAGTACATAGCATTGTGACCCAGACGTTGTTCACATCTCAAAGATTTCTTATTTCTAGTTTCCATGATTAGGTATTTTGGTATCTGAGTTATTTCCGTGTCCGCGGAGGCTGCTGGGAGAAAGGGACAAAATTCAGACAAAGCCCAGAAGGGGAGGTGTTGATGCAGCCGCAGGGAAATTGTTGGGGGTCCGGGGGCAGCCCATGTGAACGCACGACTCACCTGCTCCCACAAGACAGAGGACCACACAGCAGAACAGCCCGCAGCCCATGGCGGTGTCAGGGTCGAAGTGGCATCATCTAACTAGGATGCCCCGGGGGTGGGGGGTGGCCTCTGGTCTCCTTGGCCTTGGTTGGTGCTTTTGCCTGTGACGTCAGTGTCCTTGTCAGTCTCCCCAGCCCCAAGCGATGTTTCTTCCTTCCCCTTTTATGCCTTACATAGATTTTTATAGAAGGTGGACTTGAATGGACTGGGCTGAGATAGTCCTCTGACAGTTGCTCTTTTGCTATTAGCTGCCCTCCTTATTATATAGATTCTCCCTCTGTCCCCTCTCCCTTACAAGAGCCCCTCTCAGCAACAGACCATACCCCCTTGAAGAGATCTCCTTCCTCCCCTGCTCAGTCCGAGGCAGGACAACACTTAAAACGTCCTTTCCCTCAGTGTCTAAGCTGGCTGGAGCCCCTTTGCCCAGTTGCATGGAGGGAGGAAGATTGGAAGGCTGTGGTCCTTTTCTGTACCAGTGCTCATCATTAAAAAGGCACGACTGTGGGGTTTCCCTGGTGGCGCAGTGGTTGAGAGTCCGCCTGCCGATGCAGGGGACACGGGTTCGTGCCCCGGTCCGGGAAGATCCCACATGCCGCGGAGCGGCTGGGCCCGTGAGCCATGGCCGCTGAGCCTGCGCGTCCGGAGCCTGTGCTGCGCAACGGGAGAGGCCACAACAGTGAGAGGCTCGCGTACCACACACACAAAAAAAGGCACGACTGTGATGCCAGCCAGGAACCAGACATTGGGAAGAGTGCTGAGAGGGGGCCATAACAAGGAATAAGCCACTCTCTGGCCCTGTATTGAGGGTGCAGGGCTTGGCTGGGCTTAAAGCAAACAAGTTGCCCCAAGTAAAAGAGCGCAAGACGTCCGGTGCAAGACAAACGGAAATCGATTTGAAAATGACTTCAGTTTAGTATCTTTGAGAAGTCTGCAAACGATGCACGCAACTGATGTAAGCATGAAGCCTCAATGCCCTGCTCCCCTCCTCACGCCCTCCCTCTACTCACTCCCAGCCCCTCCCCCACCCCAGTCTCGGCGGTCTCAGTGGAGCCACAGCGCCGCCTTGTGGCCAAAGCTGCGCATTTCCCAGATCACAGGCCTCTTACCAGCCCTCGTCGGCAGGCAGCCCAGATCCCTCACTCACTCCACTGACCCGGAGCAGCTGTGATGGGTACGAAACTCCAGGAAATCATGAAGAAGAAAGAAGCACCTGAAACAACCAAAACAGTCGGCAACAATACCATTCATCCACTTACCTAGGACATTCAATTTTTACTCAATGGAGATTGGTTACGTCTGGATTCTTAGGAATGAACAAAATGCAGCCCTGCAGATACTACCCCAGCCCCTGTGCAGCTTATAGACCATCTTGACTTGTTCAATACTCACTGAGCAACAGCTAGGAACAAGCACAAAACTTCAACACGTTCACCCCCAGAATTCTACTGCCGTGGGTAATTCAGTATAGTCACAGACAACCACTAGGGAATCAAATGTAGCTTATATGAAGTTTGAGAAATGTGTCCAGTATTTCAATCACTTCATGAATGTGATAGCATATTTCCTCAGCTATTACAACATGGGGACTGAATGCAAACGATCTCCAAAGCCCCGTGCATTTCCAAAATGTTAGAAACCAAACCAGGCCCATCCGATCCACAGACAGTTTTCCAATCTGGGACTAGCTTGCGTGATCCACCATGAGTCTTTCCTACTTCACACTATAAATTGCTTATGCCTTTTGTCCACTTACTTATTGGAATATCATCCGTTTTCTTAAAACATACTGTTATGCCAGTATTGAGTTTTCATTCTAGAAAATCTGAAGATACGAATAAACACAAAAATGAAATGATCTATAGTTGCTAACTATAACATTTGTTTATTGTTATATTAGATATTTATTACCAAGTTGGAATAACAAGAATCTATATAAATCTATGTTGGGACTAGGGAGGGTAGTTATCCATGTGTAAAGTCAAGAGTTGATAAGTGAAATGTTTTTTGACCCAGGGATGTGCTGGGTCAGGAAGAAAATACTAATATTTTTCTAATGTGATAAATTTTATCAGATTTTTCACTGTGGCCCACGAAACAAAAAGATGTAAGGGTATATGGGTTAGAATTTAAGCAAAGTGGGTTGGATATTCTCCTCCTGAACAGGTTACATATATGATGGACCTTAAATCCACTGCCGTTGGAGATATTCCATTCTTAGATAAGAACCAAAAATTAACCCTAGTTAAAAGGCCAACATTGTTACTATTAACATTATTATGATGGCCATTCCCTGTAGTAAGAAGACACTGATTGGCCCTTCTACAAGAAAACAGAAAAATATGAATAAATAAAATTTTATTGCATTGTTAGGCTGTCAGTACATATGCAAAATTTCACAGATGACAAAAAGCAATGGAATTTAAACTAAAACCCCGAACAATGAGTAAAAGTGAAAAGCTCAATTGCCCTGAGAACATTAGCTAACATAAGCATTTCCCCAAGCAAGGAGTGGGGTGAAAGGTGAGTTTAAATTATCTGAATTAGGGATGTGACCAAAGAAAGAAAATGATCTAAGGACAGTCTGCATTGCAAGAACAAATAATGAAGAAGTGGAATGGTAAACGTGTAGGTAAATTCAAACACTGCCCATTATCAAATAGTAATAGTATATGCTCCTCGAAGATATATAGAAAAGACATAACTGATTCCAAGACAGCTGGGATTTGGGTTATGGGAGCCCCAAGAATACATGAAGGGAAATTACCTTTTTTCTTGGCCAGTTGTGTCTACACAGGGCGGGACTCTAGAAGGTTCTGGAAGGCTATAGAACTGAGCAGAGATTTCAGAGGACACTCAGCTGGAAGACATTGGCATACAGACCCAGTTAGAGTGAGAGACCTTGGTGCATATGCTGTGATTCCCACGGAGACCCTGGAAAGACCAAGCACGGTAACAATGAACCCACATGCTAAGGCTCCCATAATTCAAAAAGAGTCATGTACCAAAATGTTCATTGCAACTCTATTTACAATAGCCAGGACATGGAAGCAACCTAAGTGTCCATCAACAGATGAATGGATAAAGAAGATGTGGCACATATATACAATGGAATATTACTCAGCCATAAAAGGAAACAAAACTGAGTTATTTGTAGTGAGGTGGATGGACCTAGAGTCTGTCATACAGAGTGAAGTAAGTCAGAAAGAGAAAAACAAATACTGTATGCTAACACATATACATAGAATCTAAGAAAAAAAAAAAAGGTCATGAAGAACCTAGGGGCAAGACGGGAATAAAGACACAGAGCTACTAGAGAATGGACCTGAGGATACGGGGAGGGGGAAGGGTAAGCTGTGATAAAGTGAGAGTGGCATGGACATATATACACTTTCAAACGTAAAATAGATAGCTAGTGGGAAGCAGCCGCATAGCACAGGGCGATCAGCTCAGTGCTTTGTGACCACCTAGAGGGGTGGGATAGGGAGGGAGGGAGGGAGGGAGACGCAAGAGGGAAGAGATATGGGAACCTTGGTATATGTATAACTGATTCACTTTGTTATAAAGCAATTATACTCCAATAAAGATGTTTAAAAAAAATAAAAGTACCTCTTGTTAATAAGGGAAAAAAAAACCCCTGCAGATCAACACAAAGCCAATAGTCTGTGTTTAACCCCTAACATTTCAGCACGGACTCACAGCCTCCGCAAACCACATTCTCCTGTGTTGTGAACAAACCCGGACTCTCTCTCAACCCTCTCCCATCCAGGGAGTTCTCTCGACCCTCCCTCTTCTCCCTGAATCTCAGGAGAGTCACAGTGCCCCCTTGTGGCCAAATGGAAAACTCAGTTCTTCTGTCCTGGACCAAGACAGAAAGGCAGTAAGAGGTCTTAGGGGGGCCTACAGTCAGAGGGTTGGGATTAGCCCATGGCTCTCCCGTCTTGGACTGATTTCTCAATCTGGATGAGGCTTACTGTTAGAAAAACAGGAGCTCCAGTGACTTCTCAGCATTCTGTGTATAGCAGTATATAGAATTACGTCCCGGATGTCGTTCACACTTTAGGGTCCCGTTGCTCCCCAACACTGTCACCAGGTGTTTTGGGGTCTGGGTAATTCCAGTGTCCAAAGGGCCTCTGGGAGCAAGAAACCACATTCAGAGAGTCTCATGAGGCAGCTCCATAAAAAAAACTTGAAGTTCAAGGACAAAGCTGTCCCACCTGTTCCCAGGACTCACCTGCTCCAAGGAGACAAAGGACCACACAGCAGAGGGGCCTGGAGCCCTCCTCAGCTCAGACAGGATGGGACCCGGTGTCTCCCTGCCAGGTCCCAGTCCTCTGAGTGTGCTTCCCTGGTCCTGAAGGGGATTTGCTTGGGGAGTCACAGCCCCGTTAGTTTCTGCAGCTCACATTCCCTCTTTCCCTCTCATGCCCTGTGCCAGCACCTGCAGAGGTGAGTCGGGGCTGTCTTGTCAGGACTGGGTGTACAGAGGCAGGGGCAGAGGAAGAGACCTGCCACCAAGCCCCAGCTTCCCCAGGAGGTTTCTCAGCTGCTTTGTTTGCAATTAGCTCCCCACGCCCAACAAATAACTGGGTTTTTCCTCCCTTTTTCTACTGTCTAGCGCCGCCTCCTCCCTCATACACACATCCCTTCACCACCACTTTGGGCAGATATCCTCCCTTGCTGCCTCTCGGGGATGCGGGACCATCCACTTCCAGCCTCATCCTGATTTAACTCAGACAGGCTGCCTTGCGCAGGTCGTCAGAGCCCGTCCCTGGAACCAGCTGTATGTCATTTTAAGACCCAGGAATTCGGGGCTAACTAGATAGGAAGCACCCCTCAGTGGGTGCTGAGGGGAATACAAGAGGAATACGCTGCAACCTGTATCCCCAGGAGCATCTCACCTCCTTGGGTTGCTGAGCCTGAATATGGAGCAGATATACACAGAGGAAGATGCAGGGGCAAAACAAAAGGCTCTGAGGGCTGCGAGCCAAAGGGATAGCAGATACACTGCTACTGAGGTTGGGCAGGTGCCACGTGCAATGGACCTTAGTGCTCTCAACTGTCCACACACCTTCCCTCCCCCCCCCACCACCCCCACTCCGTTCTAGCCGGGAGTTTCAGTAAAGTCACAGCTCCTCATAGGGGTCAAAGAGGCACGTTAACCTCATCTCAGTCATGGGACCCCAGTCCTCCTGATAGAGCACTGAGAGCAGAGATGATGGGTAGGGATGAAGCAGAGACGTTTAAGGCAGGGAAATACACAGGCAAGGAGACATCTGAAGCACCGTATCACGTGCTGGTGAAACATCGCCAACTACCACCACCATATACACACTTGCTTAGCATATTCTTCTTTTTTTAAAATATTTTTCAATAAGTGTTTGTTGAACATGTACTATATATGCCAGGTATTGTTCAAGGACTAGGAATAGAGAAGGGAGTAAAACAGACCCTCATGGAGCACATAGACTATTTTAATTAGCTCAACAAGCATTTGTGAAAAAAACAATGTTCTCATCCTCAAAATGCTACTAGACTTATAGGAGCAATAAATCAGGTTTTTCAGATAATGTATAGTTTGGAGAGTTTTAAAGTGTGTATTTTAGGAAGGTTAAAATATAATTGGTTTTTAGATGGCTCAATCATTTCATCTTCTCACCTTCTCATTTCTTCATCCATGAAACCTGGATGAGGGGAGAGTCTGAAATAATGGTCTCCGAGCCTCTGTCCAAGTCTGAAACAGCATGAGCCAGTTAGGGTAAACTCCCCCCCGCCGTTTACCAGGCTGATGTGCCGGGATCTCCCAGTGTCCTCAGCTCATCTAACTATACTCAACACTTTGCAGGTACTTAATACATGCTTATTTAATGAACAAATGCATAAATGAATATAATGGAAAATAGTAAGAGACCATATGTAATGAGTCAATCTAACCATTTAAAAAATGTGTTCCAAATGTGGTATGGTTGCTGTTAGTGTATTTTTACTGGCGGCTTTATGGAAGTTAGGATACAAGGCTGAAATGTAAATGCTAAAAATTAATTTGCCTGGCATGAGGTGAGCTTTTGGTACTATTTTTTTCTTTAATTTAAAAGGATAGGTATAGAATAATAATTTTTCAGTGTGTATCAAGTATTATCCAAAGGAGATATGGAAATAGGGAAATTGTTTCCCTTCTTAAACCTTCCTTCCTGTCAGGGTCTCCATCATTCTTTGAGTATTTCCTTCCTTCATGGCACAAGAAGACATTCAAGTCTCATCTTGTACTTTCCCTGTCTCCGTCTTGGTATCAGCTGTTTCTGCAAAGTCCTGGTTCCTTTGAGTTGATTATGGTATTTATTTATTTTTGTGTGTTTTTTCTTCCAGTTTTATTGAGATATAATTGGCATACAGCACTCTGTAAGTTTAAGGTGTACGGCATACTTATGTGATTTACATACATCATGAAACAATTATCACAATAAGTTTAATGAACATCCATCATTTCACATAGATAAAAAATGGAAGAAAATTGTCTTTCCTTGTGATGAGAACTTCTAGGATTTACTCTCTTAACTTTCATACATAACACAGAGCAATGTTAATTATATTCATCATGTTGTACATGACATGCCCAGTACTTGTTCATGTTATAACTGGAAGTTTGTACCTTTTGACCACTTTCATCCAATTCCCTCTTCCCCAACCTCTTGCCTCTGCTCTCTTTTGCTATGAGTTTGTTTGTTTGTTTGTTTGCCTGTTTGGTTTTGATGTATAATTGACCTACAACACTATATTATTTCTTGGTGCATAACACAACAATTCAATATTTCTATACAAAATAATCACCACAATAATTCTAGTTACCATCTATCACCATACATAGATAATACATTGGATAATGGTATTTAGAAAATAAGACATGGGCACTACATCTGGGCTTTGGGGGTGACTACTTTAGGATCATCACAGTGGACAGAGTTCGGGAATATACGTATATATATATGTACATACATGTACACACATTTACATGTATCTTTAATTCTAAATTTATCTATGCATATGGAAAAACCATGAGTTTACAGAAATACTTCTGTTTCCAATTCCAATATTGTAAGGTTTATTCTAGTGTTCTGCCTTTCCATATTTGCAATCCCCTTATCCAATACTGAGAAACCTGGCTCCTGTTATCTTTCATAGATTTACATATTGGATCCTTGCAGGTACCCAGCTGTCCATTGCAATGGCCACCTTTGCTCCTTTGTAAATGTCCTTCTCACTCTGCTTGGGTCTGACCCTGTGTCAGAGCGTCTACCACGTCAGAACCCTCCTTACCGCAGTCCAGTTTCCGATACCCCACAACAGGCATGCCCTGCCCCGTGTGGGTGCCCTTCTCAATCTGCTGGGCTTCACCAGCCTGCTGGCCTCACCCTACTTGGGCTCCAACACCCCACTCACTCAGGAATGCCCTCCTCGCTTGGCATGGTCTCTGTCGTCTTGCACTGGGCTCCTTCCTGCAGAGATACAAAGAAATGCACCAGTTTAGTCCTCTGACAACAGAGATATTTCACTTCACAGGATGCTTATTGCATAATTTGCAGAACCTCACACAGACCTTGTCTGTTTCCCATACGCTCTAGACAGATCCAGACAGGGTGATGATTATAGCTAATGAACGTGTACTTAATTTACCTGGACTTCTTTGAACAACTTGCATTTCTCATTTTTTTCACCCTGTCCTCCAGGAAGCAATGCCAGTTTCTTGGTTCCAAAAGTCCTAGATTTTCCCTTTTTTTTTTTTCCCCTCCTATTATAACACATTTTTGTCATGTGGGTACTCGTCTTCCCTACTGAATTTTCTCTTTTTAAGGTCACAGGCTGTATCTTTTTTTTTCCAATTCCTTTTTAAAATTTCCTGCACGTTGTCCTCCATAATTTTATTTTATTTATTTATTTGGCCGCACCGAGCGGCATGTGGGACCTTAGTTCCCCGACCAGAGATCGAACCCACGTCCCCTGCATTGGAAGCGCAGAGTCTTAACCGCTGGACCGCCAGGGAAGTCCCTATTTTATTTATTTTTAACAGCTTTATTGAGGTGCAATTGATATGAAAAGAACTGCACACATCTAATGTGTACCATTTGAGGAGTGTGGACCTATGAAAACACCTCTACCATCCCCACAATCAAGATAATATACATATCTTAATTATTTTCTTTTTTCTCCTTCCCATCAAAACCCCCCTTCTTACCTGTCAGTCTTGCATGACATATTAAAGGTGTACTCCCTTTGCCTGAAACAACAGCTATTCCTGAGAGCCCACTACGTGCTTTTCACTATTTCCTCCCTAGGGGTTACCTTCCAACACTCCCAGATGAGCAAACAGTCTAATCACCACCTGTTCATCTTGCTAGGATCCCAGGCTTTAGAACCACAACCAGATGCTTTCTTCTCATCATTTGAGAGCCTGACTGAAGTCTCAGCTTCTTCAAGGACTGGTCCCATGCTATGTTCTGGTCACCAAACAGCCATATTGATTCCATGCGAATCAATAGAAGTGCCCTGATAGCAATGGGTTCTGTGTGGAAAGGAGAAATAAAACAATAAGAAACAAAAACCATAGAATATACAGATTTGTTTTTGGTGTACGTGAATATTCTAGACAGTAAAACAGAGCCAATATCAAGATGAAGCACCTGAAGAAAGAAATAACTATATATTTCACCGATCGTAAAATAATGGGTATACCATATATCCTTGTTGCTTATCTAATTATAGTCATTATTTTGTAATAACTTGAAATGCAGTATAATCTATAAAATATTGAAGCATTATTCTGTACACCTGAAAATAATATAATATTGTAAACCAACTATATTTCAATATAAATAAATAAATAAAATAATGGGGTATAAACTGTATTTACCAGCACTGAAAGAATATATAGAAAAAACAGTTATCATTTGGGGTCTGCCAGAGTTGGAAAAGGGTTTTTGAAGGAGAGGAGTTTAACCAGATCTTTAAGCTCTCTCTAACTAGTCCTATACGAATTTATTCTTTCTAAGAAATAGCTCTGCTAGGTTGTCTAAAATGAAGCTAGCCTCTAGCTTCAGCTAGTACTATCTGGCATGCCTTTCTCCAGTAATGTGAAACAACTTTTGAGATTGCCTTTTGAGATGTGTCCCTGCTGTATACAGAGGTAAAGGAGTCTCTAATGGACTGGAACCCTGGCTTATCTTGACTCTCCTTGTACTATTCTAGAACCCACAATCTTCTGCTGGTTTTGGCCTCTAGTGACCACTTATTTTCTTACTATGACTCTCCTGGTTCTATCTTCCCAAGGGACAAGACTAAGAAAAAATGGTCAGAGCTTTAAATAGACTGTTTCCTGGTTCAACACAAGGAAGAATTTTCTAACTGGATGGTTGAGGAGATACCATGATCTCCTCTCTGCAACAGAGGCTGGATGACCTTTGGCGGGGATATTGTAGCTGGGGCTCAAGTGCCCGAGGGGCAAAGAGGTGCTTAAGCATCTACTCCGTTCCAGAGACAGAGTTACAAACTGGGGATGTAAACACAAAATGTTTGCTTCAGGAGCTCAAAATCTAGCTGTCTTCATGACAAGGAAATCAAATCTTGCAACAAAATTCAAAAGTTATAATAACAATATAATTCCAGTGTCCATAGGGCCTGAGGAATTAAGAAACCACATTCAGAGAGTCTCCTGAGGCAGCTCCATGAAAAAAGCTAGAAGTTCAAAGACAAAGCTGTCCCACCTGTTCCCAGGACTCACCTGCTCCCAGGAGACAAAGGACCACACAGCAGAGGGGCCTGAAGCCCTCCTCAGCTCAGACAGGATGGGACCCGGTGTCTCCCTGCCCAGGTTCCTGTCTTCTCAGTGCACTTCCCTGGTCCTGAGGGGGATGTGCTTGAGGAATCACTGCCCTTGTTTGTTTCTTCAGCTCACATTCCCTCTTTGCCTTTTATGACCTGTGCCAGCACCTCAAAAGGTGGGTTGGGGCTACTTTGGCAGGACTGAGAGGAATAGACCCATCCCCTACCCCCCATGAAGATGGCTGTGAGCCTCAGAGGGATGGGAAGAAGGCAGTAGGTTGGGCTTGGGGATGACAGTTTGGCTTCAGATTGGTAAAGCTGAACACTTTTCTAAGGAGTTAGGATACTAAGTGGGTATTGGCACAAAAACCTGAGAACAAAAGAAACCCATTAATTGGAGATGGTGATCAAATGAGGACTTGGTCACAAGGAAATGGTGACAGCTAAGATGCATGAGCAGAGAGGAGACAAGAGCCCAGGGTGATGATTGGCCAATGTTACTTGATGCTCTGTCATTAGCCTTGATCTCCTTGAATTCCATTTGTCTAGGAATGGCATTATATCAAATCGTGGGTCAAAGTTGAGTCTGGAAGTAGCACTTAAGAGAGTAAAATGATTGGAGAACTACTTGGACAAACCAGGGAGATTTTTACATTGGATGTTACATCTTTGGTGCCTTGATTCAGTCACCTGTGGTGTTGATTCTTCTCAGCTCTGGGTCACTAGCAAATCAGCTACATGGCTTTCTCTGATCTCAAATCAGAGACCTCAGGGACTTCTTGCTACATTTCATATGGGCTCTGAGACAGCACTTTGGAGAAAAGTTGTTAATCAGCTGGGAATCTACCTTGGAGTACAGCTACAAGAGCATGTATCAACTCCTTACCTGCAAAAATGCCATGGAAACTGCAAAACTACCATGGAAACATTGTCAAGTGCTTTGCTGAAAACAAGACATGCTAGTCCCAATTTCTTCCAAATTCTTCAATCTAGCGAGCTCACCCAAAAGAAAATGGGATCAGCTTGACATGACTTATCCTATGTGAACCTGTCTTCTCTACTAAGATTACTAAATACTTTGATGACTGTCACTCACAAGGATGAAGTAGCAAAGTGACAATGACTGAGAGTTTTGAGGGTTACAGCACTTGTGAATGGTTGCTCACTAGCCTATGTCGCAGGAGCTATTCAAGGTGCCTACTAGGTTTTTCCTAATCCCCGAATTTCCAAAACTATAATAGAAAAATATTTCTGAGCCTAGTAATGGAACTCTTTGGATATCTGTGTACTTTGATTTAGGAAATGTATCCCATAAAAGCAAGGTGGGTATATTGAAGAAGGTTGGGATGATGGAGCTTGGAGACAGATCACAAAAAGTTTTCCTGGTGGGGATATAAATATCTGAAAGAAAACTGTCTTTGTCAAAAAATTAATGTGGGGTGTGTACTCTAATTTTTCCCTCTTTCTTGTCATTTTCCATTTATGATGCTCTATTTTGACCTTCAGCATCATTTTCACCTTCATCCATCTCTGTTTCTCTTCCTAATCTCATTGCCTTCCAATCCAATAGAATGTTTTCTCTTAATAAATGCCTCACTAGCCACTCACTATCATATTCAGAAGCGGCAAGTTTCCAAATTATTTCAAGATGGCATTTGCGCATGCTGTTCTGACAGCTGTGGGTCTCAGGTTACATACCTGAGAACCTCTATGATAAAAGTTAATTGTTCTTTTATTTATTTTGCGGTACGCGGGCCTCTCACCGCCGTGGCCTCTCCCGTTGCGGAGCACAGGCTCCGGACGCGCAGGCCCAGCGGCCATGGCTCACGGGCCCAGCCGCTCCGCGGCACGTGGGATCCTCCAGGACCGGGGCACGAACCCGCATCCCCCACATCGGCAGGCGGACTCTCAACCACTGCACCACCAGGGAAGCCCTTAATTGTCCTTTTATTAAAGCCTGCTTTACCAGCCTAATCTTGAGGAATGGAGGTAGGATATGGCTGCAAATGGGAAGAGAGAGAAATGTGAAGTGAATTCTGACAGAGACATAACTGAATTAAGTTGGCACTTTAACAAAACTCTGATATATGGATCAAAGATTAACTTCTCCCATTTCCCCATTATTTTCTCTGGGTATTCATTTTATCTATGAGGATATTGAAGTCCAGACACCCCTCCCCCCCCCCAAACACGGCTGCACTCACTTATTCATGTACTCTTTAGAGTTGCTCATGGACAAGAGTAGAGTAGTAGTGACAGAGACCATATATATTGCCTGCAAAGCCTAAAACATTTACTATCTGGCCCTTTACAGGAAAAAGAAAAGGTTTCTGACCCTGCACATGAAACGTGGAGAGAACCACATGTGGCTAGAAGAGAAATGCCCCCAGACCAATGGAACCCTCGAGCAGATTCTCAGGGAAAACGCAGCCTGGTTCCAGGATTCACTTTACCAGGGAAGAACATTCTATTCACTAACACCAATTTGCCCTGATTGTTTACTTCAGTTTTTTCGTAAGTTTCTTAGTATATTATGTTTCAAGGGGAGAAGCTCTTATTTAAAATTTCCTTGTTTACTTTAGTTTTTTCCTAAGTTTCTTAGTATATCATGTTTCAAGGGGAGAAATTCTTATTTAAAATCTCCTTGTTTACTTCAGTTTTTTCGTAAGTTTCTTAGTATATCATGTTTCAAGGGGAGAAGTTCTTATTTAAAATTTCCTTGTTTACTTCAGTGTTTTCGTAAGTTTCTTAGTATATTATGTTTCAAGGGGAGAAGTTCTTATGTAAAATTTCCCTACACATTGTAGTGGTCAAGAGCCAGCACAGCACAGCCTCAGTGACTGGTGATGTATTAACCAGGAAAGTGACTAGAGAAGCCAAAGCAAAAGAAAAACAGACTCATTGAAGGAAAGGGCATAAAATTACCTGACACAGAGAGAATGTAATGTTGAACCTTTCTTGTCCTGCCTTAAAATATAAATGTTATTCCATCATTCCTGTATTATGTGTAGGTCATCACAATGGAGGGCGTGGGCTCTGAAGTGAGGTTGCTTGTGTTTGAACTCTGTATGGATCACCTCATAGTACTGAACATGAGAAAAAAACTCTTACCTTCTCTAAGCCACAACCTCCCCATCTATAAAATGGCAAAAATTAGAGCACAACACTTATAAAGTTGTTTGTAAGGACTGAATGAGTAGATGTATCAAAATCCCACCCCCAGGGTTTGATACATATTATAGTACGCACTCAATAAATTCCCATTGTCTCTTCGCTGGCCAAGAACTCCGTATTATCTTGGTGTCCAGACTTTGGTGAACTGACTAGGGAAGTGTTAAGTAGTGCTTGAGAGCACAGGCAGTGAAGCCAGATTTCCGGGGCTGGAATCCTGACCCTACCATGTATTTGCTTTGTGATTTTGGTAAAGTCCCTTATATTTTTGTGAGCCTCAGTTTTCCCAACTGTTAAATGGGAATTATAATAGAGATCTTGTAGGCTTGTTCTGAGAATTACTAGTTTAACAAATAGGCTAAGTATTTAGCATATGCCTATTAAATACTAAGTTCAGATAAGGATAAATTATTCTCATTCTTTCCCTTTCCTATTTTGAACTATTGTGGTTTCAAATCAGAAATGTTTTTCTTTTTTTAGGAGAACAAGTGTTCCTATCAATAATGAAACATTCACATGGGTATACAAGGCCAGAGCTACTACAAGACAAATTATATAATTCTGAAACAGGCAATGTTAATTACATCAAGGGTATAGCTCTCAAGATAATCCTCAGCATAAAAGTTCATGCTTGTGACAACCAAGTACCTAAATTTTTTCTCTGGGAATCAGGACACCTGCAGCCCTGATCTGTGACCTTACTCCAACTTACTTTTCTATTATGGGGAACAG